CGCAAGCCACCGCGAGTCGGGCGAACGATTTACTGGGGTCAGGGACTGTTTTTGCTCATTTGCTATCACAATCCTTACCAACATCATAGCAGGAAGGCTTGGATCGCTGCCTCCACGCGGCGCCTTCTGGGTGAGACTCAGTCTCAGCAGAAAGCGATCCATTTTTTTGGGTCAACGCCGGCCTTAGGGCTGGCAAAAATAGACGAGTAATTTTTAAAATAAACCCAAAAAATAGACGAGTAATTTTTAAAATAAACCCAATAATCGAAGAAACAAGGCAGTTTCAGTGAACACCTTTCGCAATCCCTATTCCCAGAAGTTAGTTCACATTTGAAAAATAGGAAATACAGGGTGATTTTATAACGCTTTTGGGTTCAGATTTGGAGGATCGTAAAACAAGGACGTATCGAATTGGCGCAACATGTTTAGTTTTGAAATTTCTTCATGATCAGAGAAAAATTCTGACACCGAAACTTTTCAGTTTTGAAGCACGAAAATCGAAGAAACTTGATTTTTGATTGCAAACCGAAAACCAAGGACGCAAGAGTTCGAATTTTTCGATACGAGATGGGGTTTATGAAGTAGAAGAGAGTTTCTCACGACAAAGGAATTCTCTGAAATCGCATGGTACATTATACTTGGACCTTTTATCATGCAAATAAAACGCAAGAAGACTAGAAATGCGGTGAAAGGAAATCCGGAGTACGGTTTTTTAAAAACACCTTTTCACGAGAATCGTAGCAAACACATTTTTCAAATTCCTACATACGATTATGAATTGGAGGTCTCAAAAAATGGGAAAATCAAGAAACCGGAAGAGGTCATTGTTTCTCGAGGAACCTGAAACATAAAGGGTTTTGACGGAAACCGAAGGGCAAAACGACGGCATCAATTCTCAGGAAAAGGATCGAACGACGTGCATAATTACCGAGTCAGTGGCTCTCGCGTTACATCAACACGAGCATTTCGAGCCAGAAGCTCTTCGGAACCCCAGATTCCGAACACCTGATTAATTCCTCACATTCTCTCGATTCTGCCCGAAAAAGTTTTTGCAGGCATAAAAGAAAAATTTTCTGTTTTATATTGATAATATTTGCTTAAATGCTCAAAAATGGGTGGCAATTCTGAAACTGGATCTTTAACATACCAAAATTTTTCGGGATGCTCTCTACATTGTTGTTTTTCTAATGTTTTTACATTCGGATGCCGAAAAGATTTTTATGAAAAGTAAAAATAAAATAAAAAGTAAAGGTATATTTATATTTTTTTGATTTCGGTTAAATTGAGTATTTCACCTTTTTTATCATTTTTACCTAAAGGACGAATTTTTTCCGATTTTTTTCCAAGCTTTTTGTAATGCCATCCGTAAGAACTTTATTGTTATTTTTTTCCGAGTTTCAAAATTTTTTTGATGAAATTCACCAACGAAAACTTCCTTCGGAAAAAATGGTTTTATTTATTTTAATTGTTTTTTTTTCTCCTAGTAGAGTTTTCTGCTCTTCAGGAAGTTAAATTTTTTCAAATTTTCCAAAAATGCAGGAAAATTAAAGATTCTTTTTTAAAGGTGAATTCTTTATGTCCTACACAGAAAATACGGATGAAATAGAGCAAAAAAGGTACTTTCCTTCAAAAATCTAATAACGAAATTGCAAAAGACACAAGAAGAAAAAATGCAATGAGCTAAAGTCGTAAAGATGCATTTCGATTGACGAAACCTTGAAAGAAGAGCTTCTTATATTAGCTAATAAGACAAGTGTCCATGTGAAGACACCGCGCAAGTCGACGTCTAATTGACTGGATAACCGGAGTTGAGCTTCAAGACATTCTGCGTGTTTGCTGCGGAATGAGGCAAGATTAAAAGCGCGCGAAATCGGCCTTCGGAATGACTCGGGAGCCGCGGCTCACGGGCTCCTCAAAGTAATAAAATACTTCCAACAGCCGTTTTGATGCTTCGTAAGATATTAAGATGCTCGATGACTTGAATTGAATGAAGGGAAGGATATAATTCGAGTCCAAGAGGCCAAAATCGCAGTATCAACGAGAATACATTGTGCAGAGATAGCATTAAAGTTTTCAGAAACCACGGAATTCTACTCTTTCTTTTTACTGAGAGTGTTAAAGATGAGTTTTAAGTATGTTTGACTCCACTTGAGCTTTCGCTTTTGTTTGACTTCAGTTCAAACTGTTCGGCTGTTCATAATTCAGCTTGATTCGATTTTTTATCATTCCTCTCTTTTTTTGAATTTTTGTACATTTATTAGTGAAATTGGAAAACTTTTTCACGAGATTTCGCGTTACGGTCGAGAAAACACATAAAATGGAAACTAAAACCGGAATTTCAGAGTCTAAAAAAAAGTTAAAGACAATTGTAGATATTAAAGTGAACTGAAAAAAAAATCTTCAAAGTAAAAGTCACCAGAAGTTGAAAAAGTTGTTATTCAAATTATCTTGATCAGCTGTTTCGATATGAAATCTTTGTGTGGGAAAAAAAATTAAACTTAAAAAAATGTAAGATATGATTAATCAGTAGTCACCAGAAGATGCGAAGAAAAAACCTCGATCGTTAGTAGTTTCAGGAGCTGTAAAAAATGAAGATACCTAATTAAAATTGCAAAACAATCGAATGCCTCATCGTTCCATCGGAGTCGAAAAAACTTGTTGTCCCGATTTTAAGGCGAGAAAATTACTTAATTGATGCTTTGTCATGGAATCAACTGACAGCAAAATTAATTTGCAGAAAAAAGTCCCTACCGTAACGTATGACGGAGGATTCAAAAAACTTTTCTTCATATCGTTAAAACAAAAAAGAAGACGGGAATCGGAAAAAAAAATTGATAGGGAACTACTCAAAACTGGATTAATTTTTAAAGTCTGTTGGTTTTTGAGTGATTTTTGTGTAACCGAAGCACTTCAAAATGGAAACTTTCTTTCTCACTCCGAAATCTGAGCTATTTGTACGGTAATATCGATAGATTATGTGAATGGAAGTTTCATCATGAAACTAAACCTCCTTGCAAAGATACATCATTCTTGGAAGAATCAAGAAAGCCGAGAAAAACAAAGTTCCGCGAAAAAATGCCTTCAGGTTTGGGCAACATGAATTTCATGAGAGAATTTGGAGCTGCGAAAGTGTTTACGGAAGGCCGAGACGTCTCTGGAGACGCTAACCTACACAACTGAGTGCGATTTCAGCTCTCACTAATCGTTTGTCTCGCATCCTTTTCAGAGAAATCCCTTTTTGGAAGGGTAGTTGCACTGAAAACAGGTAGAAATAAAAATATCAGGGGAACCACTAATTAGTGAAGCACAGGAAAACAATTATGATGAGAAGAAAGTCAGAGGAAAATATTTCGAAAACACACATAAAACACCCAAAATCGGATCGAAGATCAAGAAAATCACCTGGCGCTGCGGACTTGAAAAAAAAACTTGTATCAAAAAGATTACTTGCCTCTAACTTCAAGAGAAAAGAATATAATTAATAAACCGTCAGTGTTTCACTTGTTTTTTTCGAGCTTTTGAGTGTCATTTCCGACGTTTAAAAAACGAAGCTTCTAGTCATTTTACTACATAAAATTTTTAAAATAGTCTTTTTCCTGTCCAGAGGCTCTTTCTTCAAAGGGTGTTTTTCTCTGCTACAGAAATGAATGACTCATTTCAAACCAGAAATTCCTTGTTTTTTGTCATTATTTTATTCGTTCCGTTTTTTTAGTTGTGTTCATCTATGTTCGTGAAAAAAACAGTGATTTTTTTCAAAAAGTTTGGAATAAGAAAAAGATTATGTTGAATAGTGGATTATAATAAATTAAACTTTCAAAATCTCTAAATTCGTTTTTTTCTTTTTCAGCTTTACATAGAAGAGCCGGTAGGTGCGAAGCGAGTTTTGCAGTTTCCGGCCTTTTTAATATATTTCTTGGAAAGTTTTCTTACAATTTTTCCGCAAAAAAAGTTAATACCTGGAAAGTTCATGTGAATATATTATTCGACCATCCCTTATTTTTTTTATGTTTGCAAAATACTTTATCTTTTAAAAACTGACGCAGTTTATTCGTGTTTTTAAAGAAATTATATCGCTGCTAGAAAAAGCTCTTGAGTCTTTCGAATAAAAGAAAGGTTTGAACCTCCACACGAAGCCCTCTGCTCTCATTTCAACACGTACTTTTAGCGTCGTTCCATGCGTATGTGTGCGCATTCGAGGGTGTTCCGACCAGCCGCCTCATTGGCTTAGTGGCAGAGCGTCTGTCTTGTAAACAGAAGGTCGCTGGTTCGATTCCAGCATGGGGCATCGCTTTTTGCACTTTTCAAATTCTTCTCACGGCTCCAGTTTCTTGCGATGGGACACGAGTGAAACAGTGAACTATCGAAATTTTCACCATTTCTTTTTTTTCAGATTTTTAATGGAGTTTTCCTTTCTTGATTAACTTACCCAATCCAAGAGGAAAAAAAATGTGTACCATCAAAGTCAGAAACTCTCGTCAGAAACTACAAGTAATCACTGAACCTCCATATGACAAACACAAAAAACTTCTCGCGCCAACATAATTGTTTGAGGTCGAAACCACTGAACTATGTAATCAAACATCAAGGAAACTCGAGGAAACAGTGCAAAAACGTCTTGGTTCAAAATTTTTGTTTTTCTGGCGCGATATCGAGTGTTAAGGGCAAAAATCAGCCAAACAGTACGTGTCATGAGAGGTGGAGAGGACCAATTGATAACAAAAAGACGACATCCGATAGTGTAATCGATCGTTTCTCGTTCTTTTTTTACTTGTTTCTAAGCAGTTTTATGTTAGAATCCTTTAATGAAGTTCATCTGATAAAATACTCATGATTATATAAATTTTTGGGGTTTAGTAAAAGCAAAGAAATAAAACAACTTTGACACGAGAAAAAGGTGTTATTCTTTTTATTCAGCCTGGTACCTCAAATCAAAGAAGGTTCACACTTTTGAGATTAATCATCCCCAGTTTTCAGCTCAAGTTTGCTCCTCCGAGTGAGATATGAACGATCGACGCAGCAGCACTCCTTTCACAGAGGTTTGAAATTTTTTGAACTGGAGTTGAAGTTTTTTTTACAGGATTGCATGAACATCGGTGATTCGGAATCGAATCCTCCGATCCAACCGGTTAGACAATTTACTTCCTATTTCTAGTAAAAAGACGATTTCAGGAAGTTCAGAGCGATGAAGACGAAAGACATGAAAAAATGGACTGTGTGCCGGGATTGGACGAAAGAATTCCGAGGGCTCAAAAAAAGACAGTTTCTATCAACTCTCCAGTCAAGATAAATAGCATTGTTCGTTTCATAATATTGTCTTACTTTTTTTGTGATAATTTTAAAAAAAATTGAAAAAAAATTTAAAGAATCAATTTTCAGTCTCCGGCATTGACCGGCTTTTTATTTGAAATTGTAGGAAGTAAGAAGTGAACATTTTTTTGAACAAGTTTTTTTTTCGATATCTAAAATACGTGGAAAAATTGAGAAAAAAATTTTTCAGAAGTTTAGTGATAACATTTTATTAACAGGTCCTTTTTCAATTTTTTTTTTACATCAATTTGATTTTTATGTTGGGAAAGTTTTAATTTTTTAATTTTTGAACATATGCGCAAAAATTGCTTTTCCATTATTTCTAATTCTCAGAAATATAAGAAAGTATTTTGCAAACGCCACAAAAGCAAAAAGGGTACAAAATACAGGTTTTTTTTCCGAAGTAAAACTTTGAGTTTTTGTTCGCCTGCGTCACTATCCCTTGTGTCATTTGTTGGCAAATAGACTGAAAAAACAGAACGCATCAACAACCGATTTCGAATCGATCTGACGAAATTCTCACGTTGCAGCTTCTGCGGAGTCGAATGAATCGGACGCCTTCTGGAAGCGTTCGCGACGAAAATACCCCACTTCTGCCACAATGCAGGTTTAAATGATCTTTTACAGTGTTTTTGTCGAGAAATATCATTTAAAAAAAAAAAAGAAGATATTTTATGGCCCATAAGTTTTTCTTTTTTTTCTACGGATGTGTGATCAGTGATCAGTGGTCTTGCTTACTATTTGATAACATTTTTTTAAAGAAAAAAAGTCATAAAATTGGATTTATTCGTAACAAAAAAATGTTAAAGTTTTTTTGTTTGAGATGTGGAAATGTATACAGTTTGAAAAATAAATCCAAATTCAATATCTGGAAAAAACTGCCCGTTCATCACATCATGAAAAAAAAATATTTTCGAATAACCAAACCATCCCCATGAGCTCAGATGCAATAACTGTGTACTCAAATATGAGTATCCTCAGGATAATTTTCTTGAATAAAAAAGTTTTATATTCCATTTTTCGATTTCCAGTTCCTTGCCAACAGTTGTCGGGCTCGATGAGGTTGTTGACGACTATCCTGGTCCATCCGGAACGACTCGATCTGAGGTAAAAGATCTTTCTCGTGCTTTTTATTTTTTTGTGAAGTTCAGATAGGAAGGAGTGAACTCATCAGAAAGAGAAGGTCTCGTAGAGCTCGCCACAACACGGAGATTTTTTTGCGGATCCGAGGAAAAACAAGGTAATTTTTTAGTTTCAAAATCAATCCAATTTTTTTACTGAAGATGTAAGGGACTTATTTTTTTATCGTTACGCAGTTTCTCACAATGTATGAGCTGTTATATTTAACGATAAATAAAGAGAAACTTGGGAGCGGAAAAAAATAAAGGAAAAGGTTATGGAAATTTCATTCTATTGCAAGTTGATAATTGAAGAAAAAAACAGATAAAAAAACCTAATTTTTGTGATTTTTTTATTAAACCATTTTTATATTCTAATATTTTTTTCAATTGATCGGAAAACTTTTTCTTCAACCTCCCACGCTGTAACTAATTTTTTTGTTTTTTTAGCAAGACATGCTCAATTAATAATTACATTAGTTCATCAGCTATACCAGGAAAGTAGTGTGGAAAAAATTTTATGATCAAAAAAGTGAATAATAGTTTTTTTCAATTTCAAAAAAATTAAAAAAAGCTTCATTATTTGATTTTTATGGTTTTTAGAAGAAAAAAACAAGAAATTATAATCTGAAGAAAAACATTCTTAGTACATGTCAATAGGAGTTTCACCTAAACCCAGAAGCATATTTCTATCGGAAATTTAAAACTGAATAAAAAGGAAAATGAAATATTTTCAAAACTTCCAAAATGTGATAAGCTTCAAAAATCCATTTTAAAAGCGCTGCGAACACTAAAATTCGAGCGGACAATTGAGGTGGTTTAAGGGCTTTCAAACAAAGACAAGGTCAGTTGACAAAGACCACATACACACCGGAATGTTGATGCTGACCGCATCACTCTTCTTTCTATTTATTGCCTTCGATTCACTGTTTCAATAATCATGTATATTCCATCTTTTTTCCTGAAAATCATCATTACTCTGATTTAGATCCATATTTAGCCCTTTAGACCACTCATTCCTCTTGAGAGAACACAGCGACAAAAGTTGACCGCGAAAATTGATGCGGAACATTACACTGCAGGACGGCATAAACACACATACAAAAAAAGAACATGTCCACTTCTCTGTTGATATCATTTTTTGATTGATTTATTGCAATGAAACTGACCTCCAATTGACAATGATTAATTTTAGGGTAAAATAGTTGAAATTTCTCAACACTCCTGAGACAAGGATATCATTTCTTCGACTTTCGCATTGTCATCATAAATCAGACAAATAGAACCGCCGTAGGATTTCTCGTGACCTTCTGTCTCATCAGATTTGGAAATATTCCGTTCATTCTTCATTTTCAAAAAGCCCGACTTCTGCTCTTTGAGCTCTCGACTCTAACGTTGAATTCATTTCTAAACAAAAAATCTTTATTCCTCTATTTTGGAACGAAAATGGAAAACAGTTTAACAGCCTACTTAATGTTTTTCGAATGCAGAAGGAGGAGGTAGAAAACGATTAAAAAACGTTTATTTAAATCGTGGAAAAATCACGATTCATTTTTTTCTTTTCGTTTACTCTTTCTTCTTTTTCCCTTTGAAAATCGAAAAGATTGATTTTTTTTTCCATTTTGCCGACCTGCAGAGAATTGAGCTTTTTTTTTGGCTAAAAACAGCAAAAATGAGTTGACCTTTTTCCAGGCGAGAAAAGAAAACAGATCTGAGAAAAAAAAAATGAAAATACGAGGCGGAAGAGAGTTGCATCACAAGAGTCCGCACACCGACCCGCCGTTGTCAAAAGCCACACAATCGTGTTTTTAGCAAGTGTTGCGATTATCGACGTCTTGCTGGAAGTTCTGATCCCACATGTTGCTGTTTTTTTCTGACTTGATTTTCCCTGTATTTTTTGTTTTTTTCAACCCTGTCCTAATCAGAAAACATCGAAAAAATTTAGTTACTAAGGCAATTTTCACCTCACAAGTCGGTTATTCAAAAGGAGGTGTTTTTGAACCTAGATGTTTTTCAAACTGGTAACGATTTGTAGAGCTTTTCAAAAGGCATCTTCTGGAAAGAGAGAAACGTTGGCTTCGAGCTCAGAACAATTAAAATAAGTGACCTTCCAAACACAAAAGGAATAAACCTCTAAAAGCTTTCACAGTAACCTAAAATTTCTTGTATTAAAGGTATTCAAAGATTTGAGATAAATAATGAGCAGTCATAGTTACTGTGAAAGTTTTTGGAGTATGAGATACAACACAAAATAGTTCTGCTAAATGTTCCAATTCTATGTTTTCTGTAGAAGATATGTTCACAGCCTAAGAAACATCGCACATTTGATTTTTTGCCAGCCCTGAGGCCGGCGTTACCAAAAATGGATCGCTTTCTGCTGAGACTGAGTCTCACCCAGAAGGCGCCGCGTGGAGGCAGCGATCCGAGCCTTCCTGCTATGATGTTGGTAAGGATTGTGATAGCAAATGAGCAAAAACAGTCCCTGACCCCAATTTTATCAGAAGTAAATTGAATCTTTAATATAAATTCTATATTTCCATTATTTTTGTTCTATTGAAAGTTGGAGTGTTTGAAAGATTTGTTTCTCATAGAATACTTTCTCATGGAGAAGAACAAAATCTTCTCACTCTGATTATCTTTCTCATTATACTGTGAAGACTGTCTTTCAATTTTTTTCCCATTTATAAACTGCCGATTCTTTCTCGCTCCTATTCTCACCTTCTTTTCTCATATATCTTTTTTTGAACTGATGTTGTGAAATTTTCCTGAAATGGAAACAAATTTTTTATCTTTTATTGAAGTGTAATACGCGACTTTGAAGTTGGCAGCTCAGTTTGAAAAAAATATTTCTGAAAGTTCATCTCCTTTAAAAAAAGAAAGCAGTTTTTCTGCTGCACTACTGGCTGTACCAATATTACCTTGTATGCTACTAAAACTCAATACGAATTCGAAATTGTCTTTCTTCCGTTTTTTTTTTGAGTTTTTGTTTCTCAACCGTTGTTCAATGAAAGAGCGTGCAATATACAGATTTCCAAGATGAGTGTCGAAAATTTGGGAAAGATGAAGGCAAAAAATCGAAGTACGTTGTCATTGGTGAGCCTTGACCGCAAGGAACGGTAAGAAACTGACTTTGAAGTGTCATTTCATGGAGAAATTATTTGAAAATAAATCCAGAAAAATATGTTGTTATTCTATTATTCTACCGTTTTCCTTTTGTTGCCACTTTGGCAAGTAGAAATTTGTGATAAAAATGAAAAAGTTAACGGATAATCTAAAAAATGAAATAAAATGTTTAGTTTCTAACTGAAATTTAAACTGAAAACAAGAAAATGATAGGCTCTCAATCGGTAACTTGCAACAGATGTTGTAGATCCTCTATCTACTTTTTCGGTTTTCAGGCCTCTCATTCCCTCGCCGTTCATGCCGATTGCTCGACATCTTTCCGTGGATCCGGATAGGATCAGAGACCTGAGATCTCGTGGATACGGTGCAGTCGAAGCTGAACAATTCATCAGTGCTACCGATGAAGAAAGCGACGAAGATGAGGAGTACGTTAATTACTTTTTTTCCTTTTCGAAATTCACGTTTGTTTTTCAAACTCAACTCTCCATTTTTCGAAAACTGTTCTAGAATTTCATTTTTTGGTAACGATCTCATTGAAAAAAAGTCGTTTTTTCTCTAAGATGACATTTTCGAAATAAGCTGTCAATAAGCGGAATATTCGTCAGCAGAAAATCATTTTTTGTGACTGCAAACTTATTAGTTCATCTGAATAAAAAGTTCAAAATTATAGCTTTTTCAGAGATGAATCTGTCACATCCACCGATGAGAACATCTTCGTTCGATTTTCCAAGGTTTTTTTTCATTCAAACTTTTATTCAATTGTAAACGTGATGATTTGGGAGTAAATGATAAAAATTAAATTTTTTGTCATTTCCAATGAGCTATTTTTTTGCAAAGTTTTTTGATTCATTTTTCTTTTGTACGAAATTTAGTGAAATTTCACCGACTGACAAAACAAATGAAACATTTTCAACTAGAGTTTTCAAGGGAATAACTTCGATGGACCAAAAAGAGTTGGCGACGATTATCATGATGTGCCTGGCAAACCTTTGCTCCACTGTGGCGTTTAGTTGTATTGCACCTTTCTATCCGGAAGAAGTTCAACCTTTTCTATTTAAGTTCACGAAATAAAATGTTCCAGGCAAAACTCAAAGGGCTAACGGAAACTGAAATCGGGATTGTTTTTGGCATTTTTGAATTCACCATGTGCATAACAGCATTGATTTTCGGTTATTTTGTAAGTTTCTTTTTTAGGGCTTTGTTAATGAAATTCCATCACTTTCATGAAATTACTTCTTGTAGATGACTACTTTGGGAGCGAAACGGATGTTTGTTGCAGGCTTAGGAGTCACTGGAACGACGGCGATTATGTTTGGGTAAGTCTAGATTTTTTTGTTCCAGAAAGCCTTTTCTCATTTGATCAATTTTGCAGCTTTTTAAACTTTTTACCATCTGGAAGGCTTTTTTTCTGGGCAAGTGTCTTCGTCCGTGTGATGGAAGCTTTGGGAGACTCTGCCTTCGTCACTTCAAGTTTTGCAATAACGGCCAAGATGTTTCCCAAAAAAATTCCGTTCGTCATTGTGAGTAGCTTTTTTTTCAATCTTCCACTCTTGATTATATTAGGGCATTCTGGAAACGGCGGCTGGGTCGGGATACTCGATTGGTCCAACAATTGGTGGTGTCCTGTACGATTTCGGAGGCTTCATGACGCCTTTTTTGGTACTCGGAATCGTTCTTCTCGTGACAACTATTTTTGGAGCTGTTTATGTGGAAAACCCGAGTTGTAAGTTGGTATCATTTTTAAGAAGAAAAAAATAAAACTTGGGTTTATTTTTTAAATATTCAGATGAAGAAGAAGACACAACGAAAGGCATGTTGAAAATGCTGAAAATTGGAAGAATCTGGCTCCTCATTTTCGCTGTTGTCGCTTGTGCCGTTTCGCTTTCCTTTTTGGACCCCACATTATCTAGTCATCTTGCTTCGGTATATTTTTCCTTACAAAAACAACTTTTACGTTATCAACTGTAAGAACACCCAGTTTTTTAGTGATTAGAAGTTTTTGTGAAAAATTTTTGAAGAAGACCAATCATCTTCTTAATTTAGTACAACTAGAAAACTTTCGTTTCAGTTCAAATTGGGACCGACGAAGATTGGATTCATGTTTTTTTTGTGCGGCGGACTGTATACTTTCACGGCTCCTCTCTGGGGATTGCTTCTGGATAAGTATTCTTGTGGAACCCTGGTGATGCTCGTTGGATCCCTTTCGACCACCGTCGCCATGATTCTCATCGGTCCTTCGCCTTTGCTTGAATTGGAGAAGTAAGAGATTATTTTTTCACAAGTTCATGTTCAAGCAATATCAGTGTCGTGAAACGTCACGAGATTCCCTATGGTATTTGCCTTGCTTCAATGTTTCCCAAGAACCGTTTCGTTTTATGGGAAAGCCTCGTCGACTTAATCCTTCATAAACGAATCAAAATTGTATTGTTTCATCGGCACAAGATACAATAAAGAGGCATTTTGCTGCTCGTGACACCTATCAGAAGATTTTAAAATTAGGTGCTATGATCTTAAATATTTGTCCTTGCCATCAGAAGGGAGTATTTCATAAACAACAACTATTATTTTTAAGAAAAAAATATTAACAAATTTCCAGCTAAATTTTTTTGATAAAAAAACAGAAAAAAATAATTCGTTATCGTAAATTCACTGAAAATTCTAAAAAGAAACAGAAAAAAATGAACGCAGATGTTGCGACATAAAGACTTATTAATAGCAAAAGTAGTATACTGACATTTACACAGTGGAAATGAATAAAAAAATTTTCAGAAGCCTCTTGGTCATTGGAATCGCACTCTTAATCCTTGGAATCGCAGCTGGAGCCCTGTACATTCCCAGTTTCCAGTTGTGTTTGGACGTCATCCGGTAAACCCTTTTTTTCGATTCTTAATATTTTTGTTCAGGAAACACGGTTATGAGGCTAACATGCACACGTACGGATGCGTTTCTGGAATTTTCCAGTCCGCTTTTGCTCTTGGGTAACTTTGATTTAATGAAATATTAAGAAGGTTGATATTTTAGTTCGTTCTTTGGACCGACTTTAGGTGGTTTCGCGACCGAAAAAATTGGATTCGAATGGACGACAACGTACATCGCCGGCTTTCACGTCATTCTGGTTACATTTGGATTCTTTCTATTTCCATTTTAATAAAACAGGCGGCTTTTGTGTTGAAATTTCAAGAATTCTTCAATTTGAAAAACGCATTCTTTATTACCAAACATTTTTCAGTCGATAACTCTTCTCATCTTCGCAATCAAGGACGGGTGTTCTTCATAAAGAAAACTACAGTGTTCTTCATTTCGAGTGTACTTTCCAGCACAGTTTTGGAATTAATTTATTTCTTTAATATCTATATTTCTTCTCTATGGGTCTTCTTAGATCTCGAGTAGACATGGATAGGGGTGGCCTTTTTCCTGTTCATTTTCATTTTTTTAACAGAAAATTGTCACAGATTTTCACAATTGCAACTGGTTTTAATTTTTCCTTATCCATTCGAACTTTATCTGGGGAAGTAAGAGCATTCAGCAGTCTTTATTAGGGATTATCGCGTATTTCCTTTAAGTTTCAATTGCTTTTTACGGTATACGTGTATTTCTTTGTGTACTCTTTTTCTTATTTATTCTCAGTTTTTGGAATGTTTATTTGTAAATTGTGTTTGTTAAATAATATTGATAAAACTGGAAATTCTCGACTCTTCTGACAAATACCAAAACGGACCATAGTGTCAAACCAAGTAGACAAAATTTTATTGGTAAATTAAATGCTTCAAATTTAATAAATGAATTAAAAAAGGGTCTCAACTTGAAATTAGCGTATCATTTGATTCGAAACTTTTTTGCCAGCCCTGAGGCCGGCGTTACCAAAAATGGATCGCTTTCTGCTGAGACTGAGTCTCACCCAGAAGGCGCCGCGTGGAGGCAGCGATCCGAGCCTTCCTGCTATGATGTTGGTAAGGATTGTGATAGCAAATGAGCAAAAACAGTCCCTGACCCCCGTAAATCGTTCGCCCGACTCGCGGTGGCTTGCGCGACTTGGCATCTTATATCATGAGAGTAGCGGAACGGTCTCAGAGACCGTCTATCTAATGGGTTTTTTCTACCCAAATCAGAGATTTTAGTTGGAAATGTCTGCGAAATTCTTCAGAAACAAATTGAAGCTTTGAAATCGTACTCATATCCCCTTTATTCAGTTCTTTTGAGAGTTTTAAAGTTTGGGAGCAAATTTTCTCATAGAAAAATCTCTGAGGGCAAAGATTAGGGTTTTCTTACTTTGATGCTTTTTCTTTACTTCATTTTTTTAAAGTTCAAACTTTTTGTTATCATTAAGCTGTAATGCCCCAATTTGAATTCGAAAGCTCAATGATAACTCAAAATTGTCTTTTTCTAGTTTTTTTTTCTCGAGATTTTGCTTTTCAACAGTGGGTCAATAAAATGGCATCCGTTATACAGAATATCAAGAATTTTGGAGAGACACTTTAATCAAAATCGAAATTATTACTCGACTTCTCCTTATTTTTTTTCTTTTTGGTCAAAAAAAATTTGATACAATTCATCAATACCTCAAAAATTCAAATCACATGTAGACAGCAACTTTCCGGATTAAAAATTTTTTTCGTAAACTTTTTTTCTGGTTCTTTTTTTGTAGAAACCAGTAAATACTGTATTTTTGTACTGTTCATCATATAAAATTCAACATGCCAGTTTTCTTTTTCCCGAATACCCCAGTAAACTTTGAAAACAAGAAAAACGCGAAAAATATTCAAAAAACTTTATTCCTTTCACGATCCGTGAAATAAAAAAAATCAATGAAATGAGTCAACAAGTTAGAGGAAATGTTCCACTTAATAGAAAATTTCTGTTCACTTGCAATTGACACATGCGATTTGTGGTGAAGAGGACACTAAACTGAAGAAAACCAAAAGCGCAATAAGTCTACTATGAAGAGAAAATTTCTAACTGAACCTGGGCAAGCAAGGCTTCAATGAAAAATTAAACGTCCTTCTTAACATCAACATGATGAAAAACATGGAAAGCAGAAAAAAAGTGGAATGAATGAAAGAAGCGAATTCTTTGGAATAGAAAGTCGCTAAAGTACAACTACATCACCGTAGACGTGTTCGAACTCAAAACATTGATAAAGCTCCAATGTACAAGAAAATGTGAAAAAAATCAACAACTCAACTAGGTATTTATTACAGCGGAAAATGGAAAGTACATGTATTGAAAAGTGAAAGGTGCCGAGATTGAATTCTTTCGTTATTATGAAAAATAAGAATCGCAAACCAATATATCTATCCATTAGATTCTTTGAGAATAAAACTATTTTTTTGGAAGGTGTAAACTTCAGATTTTTTTCTGATTTACTGTCGAAGGCAAGTACAAGAAATTTTTGTACAAAAAGCAAAAAAAAAACAATTAAAGCGATGCGCTACGAGACTACCGTAGAAGGGGGCGGAAAAGACTTATCGGGAAAAAGAAGGGATGTAAAAGCCACTTGGAGTTTTGAGTTAAAGTTTCGGTTTGTGAGATTTTGGAGAAAAGCGAGGACCTTGTAGAAAGAGGACTAGAGAAAAGAGAAATGATAGGAGGAGAAGTGTGTAAAGACGAACGGGTGAAGAGGGCTAGGAAAGGCACTTTCAGCGCGTAAAACAGACGTGATGATCTTGGATGGACCCGCAAATGACCGTTTTCATCCGAGGAGGCGCTTATTGGATTCGAAATTTCTTTTTTCTCATTTGGAAAGGTCGTCACGCATAGATCTTGTCGCCCATCTTTTCCATCATGCCAGTTTGCATACGCTTGCATTTGGCTCGGCGGTTTTTGAACCAGATCTGAAATTAACATATAGTAAGAACAAGGTTTCATACACTGAAAAAATGAACTTCTAACTTCAGAAAAGTGGAAAAAAAAATTAACCTAGAATTTTTTTGAGAATTATTATTCTAGGATTTCATTCAAAAAAACAGCGAGTTAACCTGAGACCTTAAAAATCAGCAAAATATAGTTGTTATCGTTTGATTCACACACACGGTGAATCGCTTTTTCATGGCTTGATATTCCTTCAAAAAAGTCGTAGTGCTAGTAAAAGTATTACATATTCGCTACTGCTTTTTAAGTTTGTTCACAGAAAGTCTCTAATTTTTTCCTTTAAAACCGACCTTAACGTTGTGCTGACTGATGTGTGGGTAGTTTTCTCTGTACGGGCAGCCGTTCAGAGCTTGCGTGTACTGATCGATTTGCATCCAGGTTGGATGAGGATTTTCCTGAATTATTGATTGATTTATAAGTTCTTTCGTTGGAGACTCACCTCAAACCACTTCTCGAGAACTGGAAGCTCGCTCAGAGGGTCGAACATGAGCCGCGAACGCGCTGTAAACTCTGTTTTATGGTTATTTTTAGGGAACAAATTAGTGGGATGAATGTTAAAAAAACTAAAAAAATATTTACTGGAAAAAAATTTATTTCAGTGATTTGTTTATGATAAAGCTCGTAGAAAACTTTGATAGTAATATGGTTCAATTTTTTTGCTAAAAAAATTATCGAAACAAGAAGAGATATGAAACCATCAAAAAAATGGTGCTGGAATCAACCTTTTTGAATAAAAGATTAAAGTCAGGAAAACTTGATTAGAATCAGGAGGTTCCATCATGTATTTCTTATCAGCCAATTGGAATCACATAAGCTTTTTTATTTTTTGACAAGTTCCAATTTTTTTACAGCTGTTCTCGTTTGGTTTAATTTGAGTTCTGTTTTTTTTTCTTGTTGCGAAATATTAGTAGAATCTTTCTCAACGGTTATAAAAATTATATATTTTTTTGAACTTTCTTTCGTCTGAACAAAATAATCTTTCCGTGGAAAATGAAGCAGCTTTCATTTTGTTTTCATTGACCTATTAAGATCATCCAGCCTTATGATCTTTCTTTCTCGGTCTAATCGAAACTTTTCCGTGTTTTTTTTTTCAATCCTAATCATGCGGAAAAGATCCACCTTGAGATCCAAGGCCCGAGTTGTTGCCAATGCTGTCGCTTTGCGAGTGCTTGGGCGAGGTCGATGCGATCGACTCCCGAACGCTGGTCGTCATGTCTGGTGACGAGGCCGACGATTCCTAAAGTTTGTTGATGAGTCGCGGCTCTTTTTCTGCATCCAATCCCTAAGCCAGTGCTATCCGTTGAATAAACATACAAAACGGCCCCACGTTTTGGGGTCAGCCGCATATACAAGCTAGAGCTCAGCCAGTTCTGCTTGATTGAAAACTGAGAGATTGATGAAGTGAGTATGTTGTAAAATTGAGTGAATCAAATTGAACTATGAGAAAACGCTACTCAATGAGCGGAAAAGGGATTAAGGTTTTTCTCTTCTTTTTGTTTTTATCAGTGATGCGGTCAAAAACTTCGAGCTAATTCTGATGCAAGATACCAGAAAAGTTTTCTATGCTCAACAGGTTATGGTGTGAAAAAACTTTCAATCACTGAAAATGGAAAAAGACCTCAAAACATTCAAAAAGGAGAAAACGATATAAAAACTTCCAGAGATTAATAAAAAATACAGAAAACATGTCACGAACCTCTCCGATGGCACTTTTTATGAGAAAGTGATCATTGTGACCGCCGTCGCTGTTGCTGTGCATTTCGTCGTCAGCTGGGGACGGTGAGTCAGAACCTCCGTCGATTCTTGTCTCCTAAAAACGGCCCTTTGGAGAGTCCGACAAATACTTCAATCTCACATCAGTGATGTCTGCAATGTTTGGCTTTTGATCGATGAGATTGCTAAAGTCAAATTTTGGTCGGTTTTCCATCAAGCTTGCAATGATCGCCATCTGAAAATTGGACTAGTGATTTTTCTTCATTTCAAAGTTTTATAAACCTGGTTTTGGAGAGACTGAGTTTGAGCTTGTTGTGGATTTGGTATAGGCGTGCTTCCAGGAGTTCTGGAAGTCGCCCTTTTGTTGGCGAACCAGTTGCAGATCTTAAGAATGAATTTGAACTTGATATTCTTAGGTGTAGGTTTTCTTTCTCCAAATTTTGATCTTCAGTCAAGTTAACCAAATAGAAAGTAAAACTTCTCAATTATTCCGATTGCAGTATCATTTTCGATCGAGAAAATGGATGAATACCTGGTAGTAGTTGATTTTTGGATGACTTTTGCGATAAGGACTGGAGTTGAGGGTTGTCAAGTAGTGCATGAGCTTCTGTCGGCTTGGTGAAGGATCCGCACGATGCCACCTTTCCAATTTCGGGATTTCAAAAACTGCGTTGAAGCGCATTTGCGACGTTGGACTGAAAAAGAAGAAAATAAATTTAGGCTTTTTCAAAAGTTTATGAATCTTTATGAAATTATTCTTATTAAAAGTTTTTTTTTCCTAAGTTTTTTTCATCCGGTTGATGCTTCTTCCAAACAATTTTTTTTCTCATGGATACTGAACTTTCGTTACAAATTTTGAAAAAAACAGCTAGAAGAGCAATAAGAATTATCATATGTTTTCGCTTGCAGAATGCTATAAATTTATTTCAAAGGAACTGTTGTTATTAAGCGGGGAAAAGAAAATTTTTTCAAAAATTCAGTGATTTTCTTTGCATTTTGAACAGCTTTTCGACTATCTACTTTTGAACTCAGATTGATGGATTTCAGTTTTCCGAAGCTTTGAAGGTGTTCAGTTTTGTACTTAGCTCTCGAGAGTCCCTTGGAGCCAAAAATTGCCAAATTTCTGAGAAAATGGCGCCGTGGCTCGTCACGCGTTCACCATACAATGAGGATACGATGCACGGTGGTTTGTTACGAAAAAGGAGAAAATGATTCATACGAAGACCGTAAGACATACATGCATATATGCAAAGCCGGCCGAGGTCCTGACGCATCGGAAAGAAACCGACGGCATCGTCTTCGCTTACTCATCTTATACTTTTGAACACAAACCATACAATACATCCCTTGTTGTTGCGATTTGGTTTTTCCAATGAGCGCATTTCTCATCGGCTGTCAGGCACACAGGAAAAAAGACCCTTTACATTACGGATCATGGGGCCGACAAGAAGAAAAACGCGAAAGAACGTTGCGTTGGTGTATGTTCAGTTGCCGTTTGGGTTTGTTTGGAGGTTTTCTGAGAGGCGGACCAAGTTTTCAGTCTCATAGAAATCTAGATGAAGGTTTGAACCTTCTCATTATAATCTGAAAAACGAAAAATTTCCGAATTCTCTTCTAACTGACAAGCTTCAGAATTAGCTGGTTTCGAGAAAAATCTAAAAAATTTCATCAAAAAGTATCGAAAGTGTCGAAAAAATAGTAAGCAAGCCAAAGAATTGATAACTTTGAAGCTAACAGCTAACGAGCTTGAAAAATTTTTTCTTATTGTTTGTTTTTTTATGTACTGGACACATTTTCATCTTGAGTTTTCAAAAAGAAGCTCAAGAAATTGAAAAAAATAATCCAAAAACTATCTAAAAACTCTCAAAATTTCCATGATCTCAAAATTTTTAAAAAGATCTTTGATTTAGTTGTAGATTCAAAAAAAGTGACTTCCGAATCTGTAGATTTGAAGATTCAAGTGTGACCCTCAAACAATTTTCTTCCCTCAACATCTCAGCGATTTGCTAACCGATTTGGTCAATATTAGGAACCAGTTCTAATTGATGCAATACTCTCGAGTCTGAAAGGAACAGGTAATGTTTGAGGGTCCTGGAACCGCGCAGTTCGCTTTGTTGTTAGCTTGCAAAACAATGCCGCAACAAACCTTTCTCGACTTGTTGTTGTGGAAAATAGGAGAGGTCATGACAGTGGAAAGAAATCGGGAAAGATCAAGCCGATTCGAGAGGCGACTGTCCCGACGTCGACGGCAAACCAGTCGCCTTTTTTGGCTGCCTCTTCGAGATCACTTAGCTCCCTTTATGGCAATGCCAAGGTACGCAATTAGATGCTGACGCCAAACCAGTCGGCATTTACAGATAAAGACGATTTTTTGCTGTCCTCGAGACAATGGAAAATAGAGATAACCCCTGCGGCGGTGTGTCACCAACTGTACTGCGAGACAAGCGACAAAACCGGAAAATGAATCGAGATTTGCAAAATGGCTGTCCCTGCCTAATTGGATTATTTTGACGCGTCTTTGCCGTTGGAGAAGTGAGAACCGTGCCTAATCCCTGGTATTTTTAATTTCCCGCCAATCCTCCCAGAGAAAGATTTTCATTGGCGCTTTGACTCTCCGGAAATTGGACGCCAACACTGTCTGGAAGTGGAATCCATTAAGTTTCCTAGCGCTTTATCTAGCTTGATGGATTCTTAAGTAGCCTAAGAAGTTCTGAAATAATTGAAAAAGTCGTAATATGGTTGAACGCGGCTAGGCTTTTCAAAAAACCTATTTGTAAAAAAATTATTTTTTTCTGCAAAACACAACTTTTCGAAAAATCAACAAATATTTTTGTTCGAATTTTTTAACAGGCGATCTCTTAACTTTGATACGAAGGACCGGATTTTCAAAAAGTTGGGAAAAGTTATAAGCGAACAAATTTATTCGAACTACAAAAATTCAGAAAAGATGCCAGTTTTTTTTTTCCTGAGATCTCCTAATTGTTTTTATAACGCAGTTCTAAAACAGTCAAACTGCTGAGCATAATTTAATAAAATTTGAAGAACATTCATTCAAAGTTCTCCTTTTTTAGTTTTCAGAGAATCTTTAGAAGCTTCGGAAGTGTTTTCTACAGAACTGCATTCTTAAGAAAAATTTGAAAATGTTAGTTGCTTTTTTGATCTTTTGGTCCCTCGTTCTCCGAAAAAAGCCACTGAACCGGCCGTCAGCCAAAAAGTCAGGGGAAAGAAGTTGAGCTCGGAGAGAGCTGATTGAAAACTTCCACCTGATATACAAATATACCGTGGGGACGGCGGAAAGGGGCTTAACTCGAGCGCCAAATAGCGGCTTAGCGTTGCGGGACCGAATCCTCGCATTCCGCCTCTGGCATCTCAACACCCTCTCGTCGTCCGTCCAACCGCGCTCTCTACTCTCATCCTACGTTCTCTAGACAATCTTTCTAGTCCTCTAACGCTTATCCATCACCTTTCATCCTTTTCCTCCGCTTCCAACCAACACAATCTCTCTCAGTCCGCGATCGGATTACGGTAGGCCAACATGATTATATCGTTTGGAATATGTAAAGGAGCACAACTCCGATACTAAGATTGTTGATTTTGGACGTACTTTCAAAACGGTTTAGGGTTTGGAGAAAGGTTCAAGTTCTGGCCATGATTATTTCAAAGCTGAACGAAGTCAAACTCAAAATTTGGAAGCTTATTACTCTTAATAGTCTGAACTATTGCTCAGAAAATCTGTGCTGCACCAAGAAACTCAAAATTACACGTCAGTTTTTATATGAGAAATGTTTTCTATAACAAGTCGATCACCTAAGGCTGTACCTGCGGCGCTCATCGCCGGTATCAATGGTCTCGAGCCACTCGTGGATGGCGTTGATCTGATCGTGATTCAACATCGAAGGATCGTCACCAGCAATGATTTGCGTTATCAACTCCTGAAAATCCCCAAGGACATTGGTTATGTCGGCATGAGACGAAGGAAGTTGCCTTGATTTGCTGGTTGTCGACCGTGTTGAGGATCTGCGGGTTTTTATTTACAGCCGCTTTGAGTAGCCTTTGTTTCAACTCGTTGATGCATTGCGTGCTCGCCGAGTCGGCATTCGTCCTGAAAATGAAACATGGATCCATCGGAAATCATATAACATGTAGAATGTCAAAGAAAGGAAAAATCATGGTTTTTTAGTTCTTTTTCAAAGTTTCGACTTGTTAAAAGACGTTTCAAAAGCGTAAAAATTATGATCGAAAAACCTAATTCTCTGATTTCTCGTAATTTAATGAAACTTTTTAAATTGAATGTTAAGTTGAACTTTTGGAACGAAAGCCTTGAATTTTTTACTGATAGTTGGATATCTGAAAATAATGAATTTCAAACGCAAAGTTCTTAATTTTTTTAATGAATATTTTTAAATCTGCTGAAGACTGTGAAAAACTTTTAAAAGATTTGAAGGTTTAAATCAGAGAAAAATGAACTTTAAATATTAACTTTTAGAAAAATGAATTTCAAATAGTACCCTTCAGCAGATAACGGGAATTTTCGGCTTTTGCATTTTCAATTTTATCCTAATGACGTACTCCTTAAATATTGAGCTTTTTTTCGAAACCTTTCATCCTTTTTTTTCAATTTTGAATTTGGTGTGGACTGCGAACTTTTGCACCGCCAAACAAGGCCTATCACGGTGGTTTATCCCCTCGGCCACAAAAGCGGCATTTCTTCTTATCACATTGAGCTATAAACGATAAACGATACAGCGATGTGGGTACACAGCCGCGCTCAACGGCTATCATCCATTCACACAAATAACAAAAACCCGCGGCCCACATAAGCAGTACAAATACGGACGGTCTTATTCCCCCTTTCCTTCCCATCATCCGCTGATATCACACAATATATCGCTTGAACAGACACATACACACAAATCGTTTTGAAGTGTGCGCCTCCATTTTCGAAAGTTCCCACACATCAACAGTCTCTGCTCATTTCTATTCAAATCCTTCGTTTTCGCCGATATTTCCCATTCCGGAATGCATTAAGCGAGGTTCGGCGAAAATCGCGGTGATATTTTGGAGTTACAATTATATCCAGATCATACTAAAAAGACAGTGAAACCTAAGAATCCGACATAAAATTTGATCTATTCGAAATTTTCAGTAGATTCAATGTCAAGAGCAACAATAAGAACCAACCTGCTGGTTTCAATGCAAAACTGTTTGAAGTCAAAAGCAGGAAAAGTTTTGGAAAATTTTGTGAACATTTCTCTTCAGAATCAAGTAAAATCTATCTAAATATATAACTAAATTGAGATCTAAAACGTTTCCTTCAACTAGTTTTTATGCTCCGAATTCATAAATCTACCAATCTCCCATTTTAGTTACGTAAATTTTTCTGTCCGTTCAAAAATGAAGAACCAGCTCCACGAGAAGCTCGAAATTCTCCCACAAAAACAGCCAAATCCCTCAGAACGGAACGCGGAAAATTCGCCACCAAAACCATGTTTGACGAGAAAAGAGGGGCTCCAACGAATTTCGGAGAGCAAAACGGTGCGAAATTGGCTGTATTTGGCGAGTCTTTCTGGTGAATTGGCGATTTGAGCGTGGATTGGCTCGACTTGCTCCTCGCCAGCAAAATGTGTGCTCATGTCTGTTCTCCCTCAAAACGGCCAATGTGTAAATCTCGACACCTACAGGTGGGCACCGAGACATAAACACACACATAGAAATGTGTGTTTGAGAAGTGGTAGCGAGTGCATTTGACGGGACTCGCTTGAAACACAAAAGAGCCGCAAAGGAGGCAGCTCGGCTTTCTCTGCGCATTCGTGCTTACGGTGCGAGTTGGAGCCGATGCTCAAGCACCTCGGGGCATTCGGTTACGGCGCTCAGATTTGCTCCGGCTCAGATCTGACCGGTTATTTGGATGTAGCTTGAGCTTCAGCTCCAGAAAGCCTAATCGATCAGAGTAGAAAAAGTTTTTCTGATATTTTGATTTTTTAGTGAAATTTTTTAGCCTTAGATTCGATATTTTGACCTTTCGAAAAGAAAACCTAAGAAAATCAATGCCTATTTAAATTTAAAAACGGAAATGGCTGAAGAGCAAATCTGTCAGTAATGGTAAAGTTTCCAAATTTCAAAAAATCGATGAGGTTCCAACTCAACGGAGCAAAAATCAATAACGCTCAAACAGCTTTTTCTTTATGTACCTTGTGAAGCATCAAAAAACAGAAAAATAAAAATACTAAAAAACTAATGCCATCAAAAAAAAGTCGCCAATTGAGAAATTGTTGTATGTTGATAAACTGCAATTAAATAAGGCAACATTTTTTCCTAGACTCTGTGAAAAATCTATATCTGGAAACAGAAATATCATTTTACAATCAAAAAAACTTTTTCTTCTTACTTTATCGCTTTTTTTATGAATCAACAATTTCGAGATTCGCATTTTATGGATCTGCAAAAAAATTCAAAGTCCGTTCTGTGAAATTCTGAGAAAATAGAGTTAGTGCAGGGAAAATGTGAATCACCCAATTTTGAAGGGTTTCAGAAAAAAATTATTCTCTATTTATGACGCACGTTTTGAAATAAATAAATCCGATAAAACCAAAAATGACTCATAGTAACATGAGCAATAGTTTCCCAAGACGTTCATCGAAAAACAGGCCTATTCGGCATCAAAACAAAACTTGTAACCAGGTCGATTTCTTGTCTGCCCGTTGATTGCGGCTATATTGTCAAACAACAGATTTCAGATGACGTTGACTTTTGTCTAGAGTAAGTCACATGCCAAGTCGGCGATTTGGTTTTGGTTCAGTTCTTCTGGTTGAAGACGTCACATGGAGACACTCTTTGTCAGAGGCCTTTGATGTAAAAAAGGAAACTCACGGTTTACTCAAGATTCGGAGGGTGATGTGGGAGGAGATATCCTTGAAGAGCGACTGAACGGTGTCGTCTTGGTTGTCGGTGATTTGCTCGAAGGGCAGCGCTTTCCAGTTGTTCACTTGTACCAACCCTGCAAAATGCATTGAAATGACTTGTATTTCAAGAAGTTTTGTTCCAATCATGAGTTTGGATCAAAGTTTAGCTTTAAGAAAAATATACTTTCATTTTTCTAAAATATTTTGAATTCGAATCAAGAAGAAAGATCGAAAGTTATGTTTTCTTTGATACTATATGAATAGAGGTAACGAAAAGTTCGATTTGAGAAATGCAAATTTTCCAAATATTGCACTTAGGATTTAAAATGTGCGATTGATAAAAACCCACTATGACAAGGTGATGAAAAAGACCTAGTCATAAGATGGAAATTTCCATTTTTCTAAATCTCAGAACTAGGAAACTCCGTGCTATCATCTAACAATCTGAAGTTTCCCCAATAAAAAAAATTGAAACCAATAATATTAAAGTTTTGAACAAAAAAATTTGAGATAAGTGTCAAAATTTGCGTGACCTTTAATTCAAACTCAATTTCCGATTGCTCGGGATTCTTATCAAAAAAATTTGAAGCTTGAAAATTTGAAAACAGTTGATAATACTTGTGACTCAATAATTTGGCGAGCCCCTTGAAAAGACGCCATCCAAGGCGCGCTCTCCAGTAATCGTTATCTTTTGATTCCAAACGTTGCATGTGATTTGGTTAACTGCAGGTGAAAAGACGCGCCAAAATCGATTTGCGGATCATCGAGAAACGGCCTGAGGGCACGAAAACAATCGAAAGTTTCCTTATTGGTGGGCGTTAAGGCCCGAATAAGGCCAAAAAAAGAGAAGAGAAGGCGGTTAGACGTCATGGGCATGAGACATTCGGCTTGTATTGCATAATCTTGGCGGTGGCAGTTAAACGCAAGGAACAGGTTCGTCGTAGAGTCTTCGCACATGGAAGCGAGGAAAAATGGGAGAGGTGGACCACGTTTCTCCAAAGAAAGCGAGCGTGCCACCGATCGCATCTCGCAGATTTTACAACGATTGCGCAATGAAATCGAAAGCATTTGGGGCTCAAGTCCTTGCGTTTCCTTTTCCAACAGGTTTCCTCAAAACGACGTCAGACAGTACAACAAGGGGTCGAGACGACGACACCGACGGCGTATTTTGAGAGATGCCCTCCAAACAAATCAATGATTACAAAAGCATCGGATTCCCAAAAGACAAGAACGTCAACTAATTGAATTCCTTCTAAAAACTAATTTTTTTTTCCTCTTTCTCATCGGTTTTTGAGAGTTTTCGAAAAGATCACGAGTCAGATTTGGAACGCGATGCGAAAATATTTACCTTCTGAGGGTTGAAGGATCCAAAAAAAATTAGACAAGTTTTAAATTCGAGAAAAAAATCTTGCTAACAAGTCAAACAAAAGTTGGAAGTATCCAAACAAAATCGGAAAAGAAAAGAAGGTTCATTTTTTTTCCCAAAAAATTGGTTTCTAATTAGGGCAAAGAACAGGAAAATCCCATCAAACCTCGTAAATTGCGTGGAAATCAAAACAGACAGAAACACAAAAAGGATATTTGAGACTCTGGCCGATAGATTATGAGACGAAATAAACATAACGTTGGTTGGTTTACATGAAAATTTGTGTAATCCAGCTCACCTCTGGCGTTTGTGGCGAGCTGAGGATGACCAAGAGCTGATAAAACTGTCTCGACGAGTTGATTGAGAGCTGTTGAGCCGGAGACGATGGCGTAGGTGTCGATGAGGACGTGGCCGTCGTGTGCGCAAGATAGGCAGTGCTGAGCTCGAACGGTTTCCACCGTCACACGCACCGGAAACATCGGCTGCAAATCTTCCCGGGTTCGCATTCGGTTTTGAGCTTGGCTGGAAAAAAAACGGAGGAATAGGATGATAAGAGAAAAAAGAGAAAAACGGCATATATTGAAACAACATCCCTAGATCAAACACTACAGTCACGCGAGAGTCGCAGCCGACTGGCACAACAGCGATTAACCAGGTAGGCGGCACCGGCGTCCAGCTCCGCCTCTCGAGAGGCCAATCCCGCGGTGGATAAACACAAGTGTCAGTCGGGATATGGTAGCTTAGCGGCTCGCTCCATCTTTTATCCTCGCGCTTTGCTCATCATCCGATTAACTTTGATAGAGCTCTCGGCTAGAGATAAAATATTCTTTTGTTATAGCCTTAGAAAAAAGTACAGAAACAGATTGAATAAAAATGACAGCTTTCGAAAGAAAAATGTGCTGGCATTCTCTTTTGATATCGTCAAAAAGATACGGCTGTCATCTTTATCTCAAGATTTGATTGATAACAGTGATCAGTTATTTTTAGTCTAGCCATTGTTTTGTTATTTCGAAAAGCTGGGTATTTTGAGAAGTTTCGCAAAGAACGTTGAATTTCGAATTTCGAAGTGAGCCAAGTAACAGAAAAAGAAAAACTTTCAGCTATTTTAGATTCTTCAAGGAGATCATTAATTAAGAATTAACTAAATTAGGGTTCGTTTGTCAGGTAGAAATTCAGAAGAATTCCTTATCAAATTTTTTTATCAAGTTTTTTTGTGGTCTTATGGCTCAGAAAAACTATCTCTGCTACAACTATTCTCGAAACTCTTCCATCTTTAAAAAAAAGAGTGAGCTGCATAGGAAATACCAATAAAACTGTTTCCGCTAAAGGGAATGAGGTCGTTAGAGCGCAAACGACGTGTGAAAATGAGGAGTCCGATGAAATTTGAATTTCAGGACAATGCAACTCATCATCGGAGCGTACTTTTCCCAAAAGTGCAACAAAAAGAAGATGAATTGGTAGAAGAAGATCAGATTGAAAGCAAAATGGCAGATGAAATCGAAGGAAGCGGCGGTGGAGGAGGAGATGAAGAAGTGGCATAGGTTGTGTCGCCTCGAGGTCGGGATTGAGAATGGCATAATGGATGGGAGCGCAAGGAACCGGATCTCAGTGAATGGGCGAATGGTGGCAAGTAAGGAGGTGTGGTGGTGGCGCTCTACCGCCAACAACATGCATACTTGTTCGCTTTCAACTGCCTCGAGAAAGTGAAAGAAAATTTTGGGCGAGAGTGAAGTAGGCGATGATGAAAAAGCGGCCTCCACATACTAGGAGAGAAAAGAGACTTTCCCGAACCCGTGTCTGCTGTAAGAGGCCTCCTCGGCTGAACAGCGACCGTTTCGTTCGACGTTTCAAGTCCGGCCCTCGCAAATACGGCGCAGCAGCGGCGGTAGGCGGTGGTGGGCGGAGCCGTCGTAGCCCGAGGCACTCGGAGCTCTGACGACGATGAGAGATCTTGGCTCGGCTGGCCAATCGCCGCCCGAGGCAGCCTCCCACAACAAAGCTTGGATCTCTCTCAAGTAGGTCTACTTACGATATCGAAGGAGTTGCTCCTTTCTGAGCCGAGATAACTGGATAAACTAACAAGGATGATGCAATAATCACTCATAATCAATGATAGATCATTTTTTTAGATTTTCCCTGCTTCTTTTTTAATATTGAAATAGAAACCTGTGAGCTGAGGTAACAGCAAAATGATCTCTGATAAGTTCATAAAAGGTCAAAAAAAAATTTTGGAGAGAAATATATGAATATCACTTAAGGTTAACATAAATCCAAACCCTAGCAAAAAAATCTTAGATCATAAGCTCTGCTAGAGTAAAAAGACGTTGTTCGTTTCATACAAGAAATTGTCTCTTTTTGTAACAATTCTTCATAATGAAATTTTTTTCAATAAAGTGGTATATGAACTGATCAATCTTTTTTATCGAAAATTCGAGAACAGTAAAATGTTTGATGAAACTTTTAACAGTTCTGCTCAATTCGATTCCTGGTTTCCTTTGAGAACTCAATTTATTAAGACTCCTTATCATTACAGCGCAAGTTTTTGAACACTCGATTCTTTTCTCGAACTTAACAGGGCAATCCAAAATAAGATTGATAAGACGGTGTCATGTCATATCATTGTTGTTTTAGCCATTTCATTTCCTACAGAAGTCTCATAGCTTCAAAAAACCAATCAGAATAGTATTCGAAAAGAAAATGAATTATTAATCGTATCGGCGCCGATGGTGGGAACTTCAATAATCTTTCTGATTCATAATCGACAGAGATTGAGAAAACGAACACAGAGGATCGATATGTCGTAAAGAACAAAGCCAAAATAAACTTCAAAGTCAGGAAAATAAGGACAAAGAAGGTGAGAGCCAAATGGGTAAGAACGACTAGTCCGTGAGGACAGGAAAAGTAAGCAGATAAGATAGCCGGTGCGAGCCGTGGTGCTCTGACGCCTCTTTTGGAGGTGGATAGTTTCTAGCGCGAAAGATAAGACGGCGAGGCGTGGCACAGCCTCAAATCTCGTCCTTCGCCGTCAAGATTCCTTGGGCTCAACCGCAAACGAATCGAGATTTTAATTGAAACAACAGCAGGCGAGCTGCACCACACAGCGATGAGCTTCGGCGGTAATCCTCGTAGGAGATGGCCGGGATTAGTGGTTGCAATCCTGCACGCCACTGCCGCCGCTTCGGCTCAATTCCAAATATTCGCCTCTCACTTTAGCTGCCAATTGTTGGCTTTTTTCGACTAACTTTCGAGTTCACACAGATTCAGCAAATCTTTTGAAACAAATGAGGAAGATGAGCTTCAAGAATAACAGAAAAACCTTTGGCCGAGCTCATGATTTAACAGTAAATTCGACTTTATTTTTTCAAACAGTGGCTTTCTGTTTGAATTTATGTCTCGAATAGGATGAAATGCGAAGTCGATTGAGAAAGGTAATGAGAATGCATCAAGAAGAGGATAAAAAATGTTTTCTCCCGCTGATAATGATAATTTAGAACAAACGTTGAGAAACAAAAAAAAGTTTTGACCATGACCATTTTCTAGCAAATTTTCAAAGAAAATGCATTTTCTTAATTAGTAAAAAATTTTTCAAAAAAGGCAAAGCTCAAAAAATTGTCCAAATCGAATAAATCGAGCAGCCGAACGAAACTTCGAAAACTTCAGAAAAGAGATCTATCGATTTGCCCCTATCGCTGAGCGTCATAAAAGCTTTTCCTTGTTTGGCGATCGGCCTTTTTTTCTCACAAGAGGTGCAGATTTCGGCACAGATTGTAATGTTAGTTGCTCAGTTGATAAGAGCTCTGATAGAAATATTGCGAAAGGACTCATTTGCTCATCCAAATAACTAGTGATTCGGAAGGCTTAGGCTTCACTGTAGGGAATTTTGTGACCGCTTAGTACTTCATCGTCATCTTTTTTTTTCGATTTTCGGAGAGAACAAAAATTTCGTAGACCAAGTATTTGGAAATATGGATGAATAATGGATTTCCCACCAGTCGATTGAAAATAAGAATCGCGCATCCCAGAAAGGAAATATGTTTACGGGATCGTGCGAAAAAAATAATTTGAAAGGCGAAAATCTCAAAAGATACTTCTCCGATTTTTCGAAAAGAAGATTGTTATTTTTTGGATCAACTCACTCGAAAAGATTCGAATTTGCAAGGGAAGATTTCTGAAAATCAAGACTCTCTCATCCGTTTCCTACGTCCCATCCGATGACTCGACAGAAGAAAAACTAATTTCATCCAACATGCATAAATGCACTGTTGGCCGTGCAAATGTTTTTTCTTCTAAAGGAACGATTCATCGCCTGTATAACCGATTTGGGAACGGACGTTTTGTGGAGGCGGCTGGCATAGAAAACAAAGACGGAACAGAAAACGGAAAAAAGACGATGTGAATCACAAAAATCTCCTCGTCTTGGTCGGCGCCGTCTTTCCAGATAAATAACGCACCTTTTTGGGCAATAATATTCAATCTGTGCCTAGCGTTGAGCACTATTTTCTCACGTTTTAGAGATCAGGCGCCGATGGGAGTCGTTGAAATTCGAAATCTGCACGGTCCGCTGCCTTTTGGGGTTCACGACTATCATAAAATCGCTCATGAATGCTCAACTGAGTCTACACGTTTGAATTACCTGTGTGCATAGCGAAAGACAAAAAACTTTTCTCATCTCGTTCAATGAGCGTTTTATTTTTGACTGTGCCCAGAAATCAAAATTTTAACTTTGAATTTTGCCAAAAAGGGAGAAAATAGACTTAATAAGAGTCTCTAAATTGTAAATGAATTTTATTCAAACGTTTTATACCTAAAAAGAAAATTTATGGAATCAAGTATTACTAGAAATCTAAAAGAAAAATTTGCGAACTTGAATTTTTTTCCCAGTGGAAGTTCTAAGACACAAGTGAAGTGGTCTAATACATTTTTTTGATGAAGGTCTATCTGAATATGATAGTTCTGGTAACTCTATTGTTTCAAATTTATCACAGCAAAAAAATATAAATGACTTGGTTTTTTTCTTATTGTCCCAGAATAATACGTCAAATTCCGACTATTTGAACTTTGAAAAAAACCAATACTTATAAACTGAAAGTCATTAAAAAAATAGCGTAGTTTTGTCACATGTCCATAGTAACTGACCGCACAAAGTTTCGGAATTCTGAAGTTCTGTGACTATGAATCTTAGTCTAGTAGACATTTGATTTTTTTTGAGTTGTTAGTTAGAACAAAAATTTACGAACATACTGGATTTTGAACTTCCGTCTCCAGTGTTTTTAAACTTTGTACAGAAGTACCTTCCGAACAAAAACAGGTTTATTATTTTGAGATTTCATAATGCTCCTCCAAGTAATAATAACGAGGATGCCTTTTCTCTCTCCAAACATTCAAATCTACCATGAGCCAGCGTAGTTTGAATGTTTATCATACCACAAAAGAGACCAAAATTGCAAAGCGTGGCGTTTTTGTGAGGAGCTAAGCATAAGGTCGCGCCTACAAAAGGCGAGATACGCCCTGGCTCGGGGTGACTAACAGAGCTACGGCCGTTATCTTGCACGTCGCCACAAAACGTATGCATACATACATACAATGTGTGGAGCGCTATCTCAGGACCCAGCGCCGAGCCGCCAAATCGGATCCGCGGCTCATAAACCGAGGCGAATGTCGCAAACAAGCACTGATAGTGCTCTTCGACCGAGGATTGCTCTGTCAAGATCAGTCACACGATCGATTGATTCCTCCAGTCGTTCTCGTCTTGCACACTGCCCAAACCAGAATATCTGTGGCGACCACGGTTCAGCGGCTTCGCAAGAAACAGCGTAATGTTATGGGCGAGTGGAATGTGACCTTTTGAGTCTCAGGCGTCAGAATTTTTTATAATCGCAAAAAAGATACTCACAGTCAGAGCGCGTTGGCTGAGTCGAAGAAACAAAAATTACATTCAAAAAAATAATAATAAGATATCAGAAGCTTCAAAAAGTATCTGAATCTTTTTGAATTACTAGAAAATTGATAAGGTCCAAATCAGATTTCTAGGAGCAGAAATAAGATAAAAAATAATAATAGAAGAAAAAAACTTTGAAAAGGTGGAAAAAAAAAACTCAACCCGTTCGTCGTCTTTTCAAAACGCGAGCAGTGCCTCTCAAGGCGCCAAATTTTGACCGCATCAATTTTTCGCAGGCTCAAGGCGGTGAGGTCAAAGGGTTGCAAGTCTTCGAAAATTAGAAAACGGCAGATTTCTCGAACAGAAAATGGATACTCAGAAGAATTTTTTTTTAATTCCGTATGTTTTCTGAAAAGCTAATATTTTGTAGCTTGGATGATACTGCTGAAAATTGGCACATAATTTTGAGTCATTTCATCAACGTGATTGATAATTCTCAAGTCACGAAAGTTATTTGAAAAAATGAGTAATCGATCAACTTGTAATCATGAATAATCTGAATGATAATGCAAGGTTTTCATTTTTACATTCTCAACGTTACTCTTTGAATGAGACGACATTTTCAATACCCGTACAACTGAAAAACTCAGAAAAAAACCGATTTCTGAGTAATGTCTCACAAAGGATTGAATCACTGGAAAAAAAATCCGAACGACGCCGACATTTTTTAAGATCAAATGTATGAAACATTCGAAGACGCGAGGTATCTCGTTGTACCGATCTTAGTTTTTTCTTTTTTGATTTGTCATTTGAAAAGTTTTTTTCTCGATGACTGGCTTTTTGCAAAGACGAAGGACATGAAAAAGAAGCCACAAATCGAAAGGATCGAATTTCAATCTCTTTTGTACGCGAGGGACTGATTCATATGATGGTTTTTCCAATTTTTTTCCACAGAAGTGTTCACTAAAAAGGAAAAAAAGGTTTTCTTCTGATTGACAAAACCAGGAGATCGCAATTGAAACCTGTTACTTGTTATAAAAAAAGGGTTTCGTAACCGTGAAATGTTTCTCTCCAAAAAAACATGAGATTATTCAAGGTCCACTTCAAGTAAAAAAATCAGCCGATGCTTAAAGTTTCAGTCGTTCAGAAACGTTTCTTGAGAAAAAAATGAGAACCTGATGAATCATTGCCTCGAACTTTCGAAAAAAACTTCAGCTGCATAGAAGAATTTTTAGGAAAACTCTTTTTTTATTTTTTTCCATGGTTTTGAAAACTCACTTTGATGAAATTATTGAACATGAATGCCAACTGTGATTTCAATTTTTATTAAGGTAGTCTTTTTTGAAAAAAAACTTATTTTTCTTGAAATCATCATAGAAAACTTATCACTTCTAATCGCGGTCCATCGTTTAGAAACACCCTCCAAGAAAAAGCTGAGGCAAGCTGAAGAAAGTTTGACCTTGGGTGTAGGCAACAAAGAAAAGCCCTTTGATCACTACAAAGGTCGAGTATCTATTGGCAGAAGCTGGCTTCTGAGATTATTCGCCGAGGAAAACGGAGGTCACGTTGCGTCTGGGAGAAGTCGTGTGGCAGGAAGCAAATCAGGCGTCTTGCGCAATCTCGAGCGCAACAGTTTCGCTTTCTTTCGATGCGGAACTTGTTCGCTTTTGCCTTCAGGCCGCTTTTCAAGTCTGTGGGGATCAACCAATTTTTTTCTGATCGTTTTCTCACTGGCGTTGGCGTTGATGTTGATATAAATTTTCCTGTCGTTTTGGGGGGAGTAAAAGTTTGAAAACTACAAAAATAATGAGAGGCAAAAAGACTTCTTAAATAAAAAGTAAAAGCTGACTTTCTCCGAGAGTTTTTCGAAACTTACGCATGCCTCTAAAAAAATCGAAGAACTTGTCAGAATACTTTTTATATTTAATTTTCATACTCCTCAATCACTTTCAATGACTGGAAGTCAAGAAATTTCCGTAGAGTACTTTTTTCCTTTCTTCTCCTTATTTCAAACAGAAGGAACCAGTTAGACCTGGTTCCATCATTTTCTAGGAGAGAAAGGCTTTTATCTTCCCGACAAGTGAACCAGTTTGACCTTTTGTTAATTATTTCCAATCTATCTATCGATCTATCAATTTTTTTATAACGTTTGCTTGATAAAACTGGAGAAACTTTTGTTCTTCAAGATCACACGTGATAAAATGGCTATATCAGTCGAGTTGTGTTGGAATGCGAGGTGATAAGAAAAACACGAATCAATCCACTGCGTGCCTGATCAAATTAGCTAAAACTGTAACAATCTTCAACTTGAAAACTTTACTCGGTTGCGATCGGCTGATAGCCGACGAGGCATTTGAATGCATGAAACTCCGCAAATCGGCACTGAGTGGGATATTGAATAAATTAAAATGACAATAAATTATGAGGCAAGGCTGTCATAGATGATTATACAATAATAAGTTAATTATTTACAATTCAGAACTTCAGTTCGAATGCCTGAAAGTTGTCGGAGAAGGGGTGGAAGCGAGGAATCGCTGTCTTGGAGTTGGATACAGCTTGGAGTCTGGCCTCTGAGTCGTCCGAGAGATCGACTCCGTCCAGGAGCGGAACTGCTGAAAAACGTGCAAATTAACTTTTATAACACGTAGGCTATGATGTGAAATACTTGCCAAAATGAGTTTATTCACACCGGAATTGTGCGATTTTGTTCATAAAGCTTTAAAAAACTTCCGCTGTGTCAATTTTTTTGCTTTGCGTCTAAAATTGAAGGCGAATAAATTACAGAATATTATTTCAGTGAGAGAAAAATGAGGGACTTTCAAATGTGAGTGCGAACTTTTCTCGAGATTTCATTCATTCCTGCAGCAGTTTTCAATAAGTCTCCTTTATGTTTTATATATGAACATCTATTTGAAATTTATTAAGCCTTTTCGTTCAAAATCGTTTCACTCTGTGACCTTTGAAGTCTGGAATTTCAGTCAGGACGAAGTGGGTGAAGCTCATCACTGTACAATTTAATTCATGCGTTCCTTACCTGAGGAGCTCGCTGGTTGCTGTATCCAGTTAAAGTCTTCCGTTTGGGCAAGTTGGACGGCAAGTTCTGATAAACAAACAGTTACACATTTCGACTATGCTGAAATCACTTTGGCGCCGGCGGCAGGGAGACGCGAAGGATTAGGCAACGCTCTCTGGGCGACCTTGTGCGTCGGGGTCGCGAATTGGGCTGCTGCAACTTGGAATTGTTAAAATCACATCATTTAATCACCTTTGTTCGGCAGGTTCGTGCCTAAGGCAGCAGGCGGCTTTTGATGGTGCACGTCACCGTTTACGGACCTGAAAAAGTGTAAGATCGAGATAAACTGTCTGAGGACGGGAAAACACAGAATTATAAGAGGAGGGATCTTTTGATTCTATAAAAATTGCCTGTAGATCAGTTTCTCAACAAAAATTCTCATGAGAACACTTTTCCGACAAAAGAGGACTTTTTACTTTGTACTCTAGAATACGCTGAAAATCAGTCCGAATACTTTTTACTGTAAAAATAGACATTCTTAAACCCTCACACTGGAAAACTTCTCAATTTTACAAAAAAAATTCAAAGTCAAAGCAAATAATAAAGGCCCAATGAAATTACATATTTCGATTCTCAGGACGTTCATTTGGTTTATTAAATTTTTGAAAAAATTACAGAATTTTATAACCATTTACGTACAAGTTTGAACATGTCTTCGAATATGAGTCCTCACACTATGTGCTCAAAAGCTGCTTTTCAAAACTCCTTTTTTGAAAATCTTGCGGAGCTTCTTAAAAATTCATCATATTCCCGTTGATAAGGCGTGTGTAGAACACTATGACGAGTATGTCCACTGAAGTTTTTTAAAAAAAATGCAAAAATGGTGCGAAAGAATTTTGTAAGCCTTTTGTTGTTCTAAATTCATTTTCCTTGTTCCCAGTGGAACCTTTCAGTTTTTCTGAAAATGTCAAACTTCCGTTGAAAGAAAATTCAACTCACTGTAAATGGGCAGCTGGGACATAAACTTGTTGTTGTTGAACATATTGCTGAGGGATTCGCTGTTGAATTTGTTGCTGAGGAAGCTGGTGCTGAACATTTTGCTGGGAAAGTTGGTGTTGAACATTTTGTGGGGGAAGCTGCTGGTGAATATTCTGTTGAAGAGTTTGTTGGTGAACGTTTTGCTGGGGAAGATGATGCTGAACTTGTTGTTGAGGCGGCAATTGTTGATATCCTTGTGTCCTGTAGGGGAACTGCTGCTGCAGTTGTGGTTGGTTTTGTGGCTGAACAGTTTGATGTTGGGGGAGTTGGGACTGCTGTTGATGGGCGAGTTGATGGTGAGCGAGCAATGGATGCTGGAGATGGTTGTGAAGGAAATTTGGGTGCACCAGCTGCTGTTGGTTTGGGTAACCAGGATAAGGCTGGTAGAAGTTGTGAGGTGGGAAGTTCTGAAATGATTAATGATGATAAAAGTTTAAGTCAAGAAAAAGAAGAGAATATTTCGGAAAGTTTTCATTCGAAAGCCGCATCAAGTTTTTTTCGAACTTTTTTCCGTGGTCTTGAATAAATTCTGGAAAATATTGTAATATAGGTTGACTCAACTAAGTTGAAATAGTTTGAAATGTAGCTTAAATAGAATAATACTCGTTTTTTTGGCTGAATGAAAATACGAATATTATATAATCTGAACTTCTCCTTCTACTACCTCGGAATAATTTAAGCTTCAAATTGAACGCTATCAAATTCTTTTTATGTTTGCCTGAAGTTTTTCGTTAAGATTTTTCTTTCAAAATTTAGACTATTCGAAAAATTTTTTCTTCTAGAATATGCTGTAGAAGCTTCAAAAGGAGAAACATGCGATCTTTTTCCTTTTGAGGTTGGATAGCGTGGATATATCTTTTTTTGCTCTTTGGCAATCTTATCCTCTCGAAAAGTCATGACCCGCCTGTGGCTGGCCATTCGGAGCGACATTCGCGGCATGAGGCGTCGGGAGCGCCGTTTGATGGGTCCACGCCGCCGACGGTGTGTAGACGTTAGCCTGAGAAGATAATGTGATATCGGTGGGCAAAAACTGGTACGGCCGGGCGCCGAGACGCCATTCGGTCGGAATCTGATCGAATCACCTGCTGATGGTATGGTCCTTGGGCATAATACGACTGCAAGACTTGCGGGTGTTGAACCTGCTTTACAGTGACAATAGCTTTTGTTTCTCATTATCAGCTACCTGTGGCTGGAAATATGGTGCAGTTGGAAGTTGACCGGGGAGATGAGACGCGACAGGAGCTGGAGCTACCTGAAAAATTATCACTGCTCAATTGTAATTTGAGTTTAGGTTCGCGTATCAAGAACATGCGTTTTGCAAAAATTACTTTAACCTAAAGAACTGTGGCGGCAGGAATGAAAGTGCGAAATGCATTGACCTCATTAAAAAAAGGTTTGAAGTAGCCCTTGTTTCAGCGGAGAGGGTTGCAAATGACAAAGCCCTTTGCACCTGGTTCTCCTTATCATCATCATTTTTTTTTTCCTCATGAGGATTTTCAAAGAAGATTGCGCGGGGAGGACTGATTGAAAATTTTTGATGCGGCAAAGACGAAGAAAAGAGATAATGTCTCCGGTATTCACTTTCAAAAATTGTATGCAATCTTCAAAAGAAAACAGAAGCCACGAGAGAGGCTATTATACTTTCCGGTTGGAAAAATTCTCTCGAACTAGCCACGTTTTTTCCTTATAGGATCTTGTTAGATCCTGGAACACTCCCCTTGCACAACTTTCTTGTTTTCGAAAAATACGCGGCCATAGCCTCTAGACTTATTTTTCAGAAATTTTGAGCGTTTGCATTGACTTTGGCGTTATATTTCCCAAAAACCAAGACATTTTGCAGGATGAGACTATCTGATCATTTTTCGGAACATCCAAAAAAAATATGGCAAATTTCAAGGAGTCTCTAACCGCAAAGTAAAATAACCTTATTTGTCAATAAAGAAACAGATGAATTGTTTTTTGCCCATTTGCTTTGTTGAAACTATAGAAAATGTGAAAAATAGCTTTCACAGCTCAAACCAAAAAACTTTAAGCTCCTTTTATTTTTTCAAATTTACCGGTTGAGTAACTGGCAATTGAGGCGGAGCGTTTCTGTTAGATCTGGCCAAATCAGGAACAACTTTGAGCTCGTCGAGGTTCTACAAAGTTTAAAGTGAACTTGTGAAAATAATCAACTCAAAAAGTTGAAAACCTCTTTCTGTGTTTTTTGTTGATTCTCAAAATTTTGGTTTATTGTGCGAGAAGCCACGGCGATTTTCTCTCGGATCACTTGCTTCTTTTCAGGAATATTCTGTACGGCCGAGTTGAAATCAATTTTCGGTGGAAGTTCTATTCTGCCGTTGCCTTCAACCTGTCAAAATATTATAAGAATCAGAATAACTTCGAATTTTTACCTGAGAAACGATTTCTTGAATTTCCTTGTTGCTCAGCTTGCTCTTTTTCAGAACTTCTACCAGACGATCGAGTTTCGGCACGGGTTTGTTAGTTTTTGCTCCGTTGGCCACGACATTATGCTTGAGCTCCTGAGAAGAGAATACTTAACGAAAGAAAAAGTTCCACTAACATCAATATTTTCAGCAATATCTATCCGATTGTCGGTAATGGCAGCGTCTGTCTTTTCACGGGTGACGATCTGAAACTTCAGTTGTTGATAGTGGAATGTTTTCACCCTCCTAAGCTACGAGAAAAGACTGTATTGAAACTTATGCTTATAAAAGAACTAATATCGAGCAACACTTGTGTGTTGGAAACTTCTAATCGATTGATTCAATGATTCTCAGATTCTGACCAGTTCTTCATAATCAACGTCAGTTTTCGTCTCTGTGTTCTTCTTCGGGGGGAGCTGGATACGAATTTGTCGCGTGGGCTCAGAAGTTGTTGGTGGCTCAGTGGTCGGCTCAGTCTGTACATATCGGAAAAATCAATATCAAAATGGATGACGTCAAAGATAAATGGAGAAGTTAATCCGATTGACGATTCTGTGCTTGGCCAAATGAGATGCGAAATTTATCTCGGGCAAATATGCAAAAATTGAGTTCAGTATCACGTGATGGAATTTTTGAGAGGCTCAACTATTGGTTTTCATCAAATCTTTGTCGTAAAAATGTAATAAATTGAAGCACACGTCTTATAAATCTAAATTTGAGATTTCTTCAGAAACAAACATTTGTTGGGAAAAGCGTCACCACTTCTGTTGTCGTCGCTTCAGTGGTTGTGGACTTTTCTTTGTCCAGGTCATAGTCACCAAAACCAAAATCTACAAGTCCGTCTGGCGTCTCTGGGCCCTGAAAGTTTCATTGAAAATTCGATTTTTATAAGGAAAAAAATTGCAAATAGTTAGCGTTAAATTTCGAAAAATTTTTCCACTAGATTCCTATCGTCAAAGCTATGAAAAGAAGAAGAAAAAGTCGAAAATTGGAGAATAAATATGGACAACGAACTTTCTCATAGTTTCATTTACATTAACACAATCGAAAGTATCACGAAAAAAGAGAGAGTTTCAATGGAAGAGACCACAAATTCGGCTCTTATTTCTGATTTTTTTAACAAATTCTTCAACGAAGAAAAAGCAAAAAAAAGCCAACTTTTTTCTTGTTTTCGGCAGTAGGAAGCTGAGTGTTTTCATTGTAGTCGTCAACTTCTGGTGCTGGGAAACCTGCGATCGAATGTTTTAGTTAAAAAAAAAAATGCAAAACGAACTTGTCCCGAATTCTGATCCGATGGCTGAAGAAGTTGCTGGTTTAGGACCCAGTGCTCCAAGGCTCAGTGGACCTCCCATGAGACCATCTAAAAGGGATGTGAGATGAATCCAACGAAAAAATTAGTTTACGAGAGCTTTTGGCGGTCTGCTCGAGAACTGCTGGGAACCAGTTGCCTTCTGACGCCTGGTTCAGAACTCCCACTCCGGTTCCGGTGAGCTGTAGAGCTCCTTGAGCCAGTTGATAGACTAAAATGTAGGTTTTTTGTGAAGTTTTAAGTTCAAAGATTTTGAAAATAAGGATGAAAAAAGAATAATTGAAACTTTTATTGAAAATTGGGTTTCTTCTATTTCTAAGACAGAAATCTGGAATTTTTGCCGATAAGCTTTTGACGATAAGAACATAAATCATTAGATGCAAACTATTGAAAATGGAAAACAAATTTCCCGAACATGGTTAAAAGTTCAAAAAAATTACGAATACACAGTAATTCAAAATAGTTCTAAGATGATTTAACGGTAATTCAGCTCAAACTGAGTTCTTTATATGTGTTTTTTTTTATATCGTAATTGAAACAGCTTTAGAGGACAGTTTACAGCTGGCAAAAATCTTTCCTTAGTCAAAAGCAAACAGCTGCATGCATCACTCACGCTGCCCAATTTGAGAAATGGCATTTCCAACGCCTCCAGCTGCTCCGGCAGCACTGCCGGCAGTACCGGCAAGTCCTCCAGCACTACCTGAATTTTGCAAAAAAGTCTCAAGAAGCTCTTTGGAACCTACCCAAAGCACCTCCCAATCCACTGCCAAGCAAAGATGTTGCCAGGGACGCAATCTCTCCAAACTGGGCACTCGTTTGACCAACAAGTAGCAAAAATAACAGCGGATACCACGGCATTTCAAGGAGGGGAAAAATTCAAAAAGAAAGACGACGAAGAAGATTTAGAGGAGGGCGATCGGCCGTCGGCGTTAAGGCATCCTGAGGATAAACGCGCGGATACAGGCTGGCTGCCAAGGACTGGTTTGTCTTTCCTCTGCAACCTTCCAGTGTTCTTTCTCCTAGTTCTTTGTGTTCTTTTTGACTTTGATGATATCCTCCTGCCAATGGTCAGAGGTTCCGATCTGGCCAAAGATGCTAGCCGAAGATCTCAGAGAAAAGGCAGTTTTTTGCAATAGCTTGAAGGACAGTTGAACGGCAGACAAACAAGTAGTTGAACTGGTGTTTTTCTATTTTATAACAATTCAAGATGCAGAAATGTGCATAGTCTGATGGAAAAAAAACCTGTGAGGTTTTTTCCAAGAGTTTAAACTCAGATAAAAGTTGAGAGCTTCTGCTTTCGGTTCCTCGGAAGGCGTTTGGAAGCTGCAGCAAGGCGTCAAATGCCATTCCAATACCTTCCCAACACCTCTATCTATCTTTCAGAAGCCTGCTGGAAGGCTTCCGGCCGTTTTTTTGCCTCCCGAAGACTTTCCCTTCCAATTACCTTCTGAAAACGTTCACAAGGCCTTTTCAAGACCTTCTAGCTTCCATTCACCTTCCAACCTGCTGCTGGTTATTTTCCCAACACCTGCCTAAGGATTCGAGAACAAAATTCATGAATATTTCGATACATGGGGCCGTTTTAAGTTTTATTTCAGATCATCCAAACGTTTTTCACTTTTCAATGTTCCAGTAAGATTTTCAGATTGAGAAAAAAGAAAAAATATTTTTCAAACCTGAGTTATTTACTCTTCTCATTTTCTTCTTCTCAGAATCTTTCCACTCAAATGATAGCCACAGACTTCTGATTCCAAAATCCCTTTTCTCATCAATATAGTCAGATACTCTTTCCTAACGTCCGCAAATTCAAGACGCACAAACAGCGTTTCCTATGTCTGAAACGCGGATTTCATTGGCAATCCTGTCTCACGCCTAATGTCACATGTTTTCGCGTTTTTCAGCCGTTATTGTGACCAATTGCCTGGCACTTTCTTGTCCAGTCGGGCGAGGCAACAATTATTGCCCTTCGCAAATTTCCAAATTTTGTGAGTGTGAGAAATTTTACCGAGAAACTTTTTTTTAGATAAAAAACGTAAGATTGAACGGTGCAAGAAATTGAAACGAGGGAATTTTCAGAGGAAAAAAGCGGGAAAAATTTCAACTCTGCACGATTTTAAGAGATTGGGCGTTATTTTACCATTCAGTGTTGTTTGAAGACCATTCAGGTAAAACTCATGAAAGCGAAAGACTTGGATTTTTTCTGTCATTCTTTTTTCGTTTTTATGAAAGTTAAACACAGAACCAATCGATTTGTCGAATCCGTCTCTTCCGACGTTGAAACTGTAAATAATAATTCAATAATATTGATACTTGAAGCGTTACTTATTTTCAATTTTCATCATTCATAAATTTCAGCGACGAGAAAATTCTTGAAAACCAAAAGAATAATTTGAATTAAAATACCTCTAAACTCGAGTTTTAAGTTTCTTTTATGGCTGCTGGAAATGCTTCCTATTATGTTTTGTTCCGCGGCGATCTCCACGAAACCTTCAAAAATCTCTTTTTAGCCTTTTTTTCCTCCCAATTCTATGCCAATCATGATGGGATCGCTGAAGATGAATTTCAAGATGGAAAAAAAGGAAGGAAATGGACAGATGTGTTCTGAGTGAATGCCGAGATAATATCGTCGGCGTCTTCTGATCCAAACGCTTCCTAGCCGATGATCCGCGGCAGAACACGTTGTGACGAGGACCGTCTAGCGGTTCTCGACTTGATTTTTGACACAAAATTTTTTTATGAGCGGTTGCGTTTGCGAAAAACTTTCTGAGAAAAAAGGCGTGAAGACTGACTTGAAAGAGCTGCAAAGGAAAATATTTTCTTTTGATGCTTCATGCTCTAATCTGACATTTAATTGTCCCAGTTTTCACTGTTTTTTTTTTCTAAAAAAAGAGCAATCGGTTGACATTTGGAAGAAAAAGCACGTCGATCGTAGTGAAAAAGCCAAATTTTTTTGTATTGGAGTTCTGGATGAATATCAGCTTGAAATACCGTCAATATTCGGATTTTATATCTTGTGTCAGTAGTATAAATATTAAATCATCGCGAAAAATTCTGTTTGACCATGTTTCAACAGCTTTCCGCTCTTTACTTCAGTAGCTGACTGAAGTTTCAAAAATAGCTTGAGATTCTAACGCGCAGCAATGAAAATTGAGAAAAAAAGGATTTAAAAGATAACTTTCTAATTTTTGTTCCAAACTTGAGCGTCTTATTTTTTTAATGCATCACTGTAATTGTTCAATTCCTGAAAAAAGGTATAGCTTTTATAAGATTTTTTGCAAATTGTACCGATTAAAATATTTATCAGCGCTGTAGTTTTCCGAACGACGCTTGACGTTTTTAAAGCCCAGACAAAATTCGTTCCCAACAGATTTTACTTTTTTTTTCTGCCAATGCGTGTATAAGGAAAGCGCGCCCTTCTGCACATTTTTATAAAGCTAGTGGCTTTGATAGCGACCACTTGGCGACTTTATCGACTGCGTTTATCCTCGTTTATTCTCGTTTCATTTAATTGTTTTAAGATTGCTTAATACATTTATCGCGTAAATTATCACCGATTGTGTTGGGAAAAGGCATATCTTTAAGGGAAATTCGAAGGTTTCAGATGTATTCGTGAACTTCTCCAGTAACGATCGTTGCATTGGAATAACCTCTCTTGAGACGAGTTCTTTGTTCTGGGGTTCCGTAGACGAGCATGTATCTGCAGATAAGGAGTTGAGCTTTGTTGGGAAATTCGGATAACCTTCCGTTTTTCTCGATTTTGCAGACATAGTTTTGATGGAAATGAATTCGCTGAGCATAGTCAGTCAATCCAACAACAGCCTCTACGGAGATGCCAAATCTTAAAAATATTTCAATTTGATAAATTTTCCGAGAAAAAGTTTTTACAACATCAGTTGTTAATTTTTCAGTCCTGATCGAAAATCATTCAAGTTTACAATAACGTTGGAAATTTCGAATTTGAAAAAAGAAAGTTTTTCTTTCTAATCGTTGTTCCCAGCAGTCTTTCAATTTTTTCATAACTCACTTAGCTTCGCAACCTTCCTGCAGTTCATTGGCAATCTTTTGAAGGTTACAGCGATGGAATCTTGGATTGGCCAGCAGTGTCTGCAAAGATCTGTCGTGGACAACAAAAACTTCAACAAACATCGGCGATTTGGGTCATTTCCTCTTGAAGTTGTTTGTTGCAGCAAGCGTAACCAAACTGATTGTAGAAACAGCCGTTTGACGGAAGCCTTTTCTCTCCGAAGTTGTACGCAGTGTGAACGGCTCTCGATGGGCTCACATAAGCACCCTGATCGATATTTCATTATTGGAGAAAAAAAACTGTTGAGATGGTTACCGCGACGGCCGGAGAGGCTCCGGATACCCTTCCCGACGGCGGTTTTTCCGGTCCAGCATTTAGGGTACTTGCTTAAAACACAACTTCTTCTCTTACTGCTTTGTATGATAAAATTGAAAAAAAAATGACAAACCAGCTTGAGACAAAGTTTTTTCCACTTGAAGAAAAAATAAAAATTCATAAGTTCCTGGAATTATTGCGAAATTTAACTGGTTTAAAATTATTTTATTATTAATTTGCATTGTCCATTGGTCAAATATCACAAAAACCTGAAAATTTGATTTTTCGAGCGTTAAATTCATTTTCAGGGCAAAGTCAAAGTCGATAAAGTTTTTCTTTTTTTCTCTTAATAGAAAACAAGTTTTCACTCTGAAAAAAATTAAGAACTGTATGAATAAACTTTTTTTAACGGTTTTCAACTGAGAAATAAAAAGAAAGTTTACAAAGAAAACGGCCAGAATAGAAAGTAACTAACCAATTCTCGCAGTTCTGACTGGAAGCTGAATATTCTGAGCCGAACTCAAAATGACCGCCAGAAGCGACAGAACAGCCAAGCGCAGAATCATTTCTGTGGGCAGTTTTCGCGGCGATTGGTATATGAACGCTTTATTCTATCTGCATTCAACATCTCTTCTCTGGTAATACAGATAATTCATCGGGCAAAAGCATGTTCTGTCAAACAAGGAAGTACGCGAAGTTAGGGAAGACCGATTGCAAGAGGATATCGACAAGGATTGGGAAGTGGTCACACAATACTTCGAAGAACTTGTGAACCGTTACTAGAAGAAGTGGAGGAGGGCTAGAAGCGGTTCGAATTGAATCTAAAGTTACGGGAAAAGATTGAAAATTCAGACAGCTCCCGTTTTCAGCAGCGAATTTGGCTCCGACAAGGTGCATTCTGAAATGAGAACGAATATATTTAACAAAATGAGATGTTTTTCTCGGCCGTAGGAAATTTTCGAAGTTTTGGATAGTATATTAACTCATATAATTTAATAAGAAAATGGTAAAAATAACGCCCAATCTCTTAAAAATCGTGCAGAGTTGAAATTTTTTTCCCGCTTTTTTTCCTCTGAAAATTCCCTCGTTTTAATTTCTTGCACCGTTCAATCTTACGTTTTTTTATCTACAAAAAAAGTTTCCTTTCAACCTTTTTTTAACTACTCATTATTCGAAAAAAAAATTTCCGAAAGTTCGTTTTGAGATAAGAGTCTCTCTTGGACGCTTATTTTAACGAGAATGAAATATTTGCGCAGGTTCAAAATCTCAAAAACTTTGAATTATTTATCAAAGTCTATAAAAACTCCGAGAACGAATCAGTACTCATTCTGGTACCAAAAAAAAACTGAAAACGAGATAGTACTGGAAACTTTCCCAGATGTTTCAAATGAAAATTTTCAAGGTTGTTCGAAACTTCTTCAAACTGTAAACCTTTCTAATTTTCCTTCATTTTCCGGTTTCAGCAAATCGTCGAATTGAAGGAGAGACGGAAGTTCGGTGATTTTTTCAAGATCAATCCGCCAATTTGCTAGGAACCTAAAAATAAATTTCGTCGTTACACATTGATTTTAAACGTTCACTTGTATGGAATGAAACGACAAGAGACATCATTGGATTTCTTGGAACATAAAGAAGACATGATGTTATTATCAGTTGCATACGTTTCTCTGAAAGTGAAGATTCATATTTTGAGAGGTTTTTTCTATCACTTCAAGGTTCTGCCCAGTTGTCGGAAAAAGGAAGATGAGGCGTAGGAAGGAAAAACTAGAAAATTCCCTCCAGCAACCATCTTTCCATTCAAGTTACTTTCGCCTTCAGAATCTAACCATATATTTCCGTCCGTATTTTGGGCTCCTGAAAATTCGAAATTTCAATAAATTAAATCTTTTCTGTTATGAAAATATTATTCATTGCTTTTTTTATATAAAGCGCAAAGATGTTCTGAAAAAAAACTTTCCTCTGTTTTTCCAAGTTTCGTTTTTTTCGAATGATTTTTCTTCCAATTTTATAGCGAAGAGAAAAAAACGCATTATATATTGAAGATGAGAAATCATTGGAAAAAGCTCAGCACACTACAGAATTTGGAAAATAGAATTTTAGGAAAGCTCAGAAGAAGCTCAATCAGCTCAAAAATGAAAAAAAAAAGTCCAAAAGTTTATTTCATGTTTAAATATGAAAAAAAGACATCACAGCCGCTACAAAAACCTACCAAAAACTTCAAATAAGTTTTCCCTCCAATAAGTGTCCGATTGCAACATCCAAAACTCCTTATCCATAGATGAAAGCAATGCAGCAAGATTTGCACGAAGGACTTGGAACATTTGATACCGACATCCCCCTACTTTAAAAGAAGGAGCCTGAAACTTGTATGCAAGAAAGCTTTGCTGTTTCAATCACCATAGCTGGAATATCCAGAAGGTGTACATTCACATTTGGCCAAATTTGGCTCAACTTCGCAGAAGATTCGCCATCCAGTGCAAAAATGAGTAAACTCTCGATAACATCAGTGTAGTTTCGGACATTACACAACCAGTTCAAAGTTATGTTCAAGGCATGCTAAATTTATAAATTTTTAACAACAAAATAGATATAAGAGAGTTTTTCGAAGACGTAAAAGAAACGTACTTTATTCAAAATCAGAACGGACGGTCTTTTTCTGGTGCGAGCAATAAACTGAAAATCGGAAATTTTCGCCAATACTAAAGCCCTTCATACGTTTACTAAATTTTCCTTATTCTGAAGAGTTGGAAGAGAGATATGATGATAGTTCTGCTGCAAACAATCGATAACACTTTGTGCACTCTCCTTTCTCAAGGTGAACTTGGCGACAAATGCAAAGAAAGTTGCAAAAATGACATTTTTCATAAAATCTGAAGGCTGAAATTTGAAATTCGAAAAATATAAGAATAATGTCAAACCTTCATGGTTGAACCACCGGCGCTTATTTGACGATATGATCTCCAGACACAAAAAAAGTAGAGCATCGCATACGATATGCCTTTATCTTGCTGCTTCGCAAATCGTATATATTTTTTTTTTCTACAAATTTATTCTATCGATTATTACTTCAAAAAAATACTCACGTTGAAATCGCTTGTTTCTTTTTTTATCGATCACGATAAGAACCTAAATTTTGTAACAGTTTTCAAGGCGTTTCATAGTCTGTGTACCACGAATTGGAATTTCCCCAAACGACACTCCGCTGTTCCGCTGCGTTCCTTTGCGCGCCTTCAAATTTTCATTTTATTTAATAACTCGACAGACACGTGTTCCTAGTGGAACAGTTCATCTATCAGAAATGATAACCAATTCAAAGCGAGACCGAGGCTCGCAAAGACGCTTTGCGACGCAGCGGAATGTCGTTCGGCGGAATTTCAAACCGTTGCACACAAATTATAGGAAAGATTTCGACCATAACGTGGGGTTTTTTTTCAGAGCAGAATAGTCTACGAAGCCTCATCCAAGGAGAATAAACAAAAAATGTCCCGAAAATTTCCCGAAAGGGCGTTTTCTGTCTTCGTTTTTTCCTGCCTGAGGTGTCTTTTTTATCTCGTTTGTATTTGAAACTAATCAACAGATTGACCGAATAAATTATTTATGCATGTAGCTTGAAGCAAAAAAAAAACGTGAAGCCGAACACCCATTGTAAAAATTGCATAATAATTTTTCTGAAATACACTTCTACTACAAGAATCAATAAAATCAATCGATAAACTTTCAAAAAACAATAAAGAATAAAAAATGAAGGAAAAAAATCGCACAGGGATTTTACCAATGAATTAACTATAGCTGTAAATAAGTGATGATTTGAAAACTATAAAAAAGTTGAGAGCAAAAAAAAAACAAAAAAAAAACGGAAATCTGAAAGAAACGAAGGAAAACGGGACGAATAAGATGGTTTTGTTCCAAAATGTGGTTTTTTTCTGGGAGGGTTGTTCTTTTGAAGACAACACCCGTGGCCGAAAACTTTGTGGTCGAGCAAAACACTTAGTGATTTTCAGCAGAAAGAGCTTAAGTAAAAGAGTACAAGGAGCAAATGAAAATCGGACAATGACGAAGTTTCTCGGTGAAATTTCTCGGAGAGACGTTGCTGCTATCATTTGTAACTTCTGATCCGAAAAATTTAAGAAGAAGCAAAAAATTGCGAGATCTATGATAAAAAAAAGAAGATTCATCTAATAAAGCAATAGCCTTTTGAAAACAAAACAAAGGTATTCAAGAATTGAGCCCTAGAGTTGCTACTCGAATTTCAGGCTCATATCTCAGGTACCCAACAAAAAAAAAAGAAGCATTCCAGTTTCACTATTTTTTGTCTGGATGGCTAAATGGAGACAAAAATCTATGTACCCAATAAACGATATGACAAAAGAGACATTATCCCAGTTAATTTTGTGCGACGAGCGAAACTTCAGAATCTTTGCGGACAGGACCGGTACCGGCGAGTGAGGAACTGTGGAACAACTTGTACCAGCCGATGAGTGGCTGTGGCCCAAGTTCCAAGTCGTCGAGGCGAATCTGGGCGATGCCCATAAATGTTTTGCGCTCCATTCTTCCGTAATCACCCAAGACAGTTATCTGTAACAAAAGTTATCGATAGGGAATTTTTTTGCTGTCTCGTACTGTTACTCTTGGAATTATTCACCTTTATTCTTATTTACCCATGAAAAAGTGAAACATTGCTTGTTTCATATACAGATTTTCAAATTTTTTTTGGAGCGTAAAGTAACTTTTTATTGTTGCTTAATTGTTCGAGAACTTCTGTGAAATTGAAAACAAAAAAATTTTTCCAATTTTTATGGGAAAAAGTATAGAAATATTTGGATTATGTCTCGAAACGTTGTTTTTGTATTTTGAGAACCCCTCATCAGAAACTGTTTTCAAATTCACCTGGAGCATCTTTTTCCTTGGAGAATCATTGAATATGAGATGTTGTTGGAAGAGTGGCGAAGTTGTCTTTTTCACCGCGTTGGTTTTGGCTTTCGCCACACATTGTTTACCTTCCATTAGGTAAACTTTGACGTAGGGCGCTAAATATTTCATTTTGTGAGAAACTGGAGTTTTTTTTTTGAAAGGAAATACCTGGACAAATTTTGACACCTGGTTTGACCACCAAATTCTTTGCACGAATAACTTCAACGTCGATTCCTGATCTGCCAGCCATGATCCCAATCTGTATTTCGCCGAGTACGGGAGACGCGAGGACTTGTCTTCCCACAACTTGGCCAGGTCCCAAGTTGTCCACGAACGTTCCCAAAGGACCGTCCGCTAGTACTGGCTGCCAACTGAACATGAATTTCAGTTATTCTTGTTCCGCTTTTTCTCGATAACTCACTTATCAGAATGGGCAGAATCGGTACTTTCACGGCTGGCTTGCTTTAAAAAAGGAGGCTGGAGTCGATCGGCGGAGAGGTTCCCAGGGATTCCCACCTCTTCTGAACGAGCGAAACCGGTTCTTTTGGCTTCTAAAAGATTCTTCATTCATAAGTCTTTTTTTAATATTACCTGCTCCTCCAGCTCCTCTACCAGGAATGAATCGAGTCATCAAACTCTTCTTGCGCTCTTTCATATTGTTGAGGCCGACGTTTGAAGTTTTCGGCTGAGCTTCATCAGGTCGAGTTCGAGCTCGGCGGTCTTCATATTCTTCGATGGACTGCTCTTCTCGCGAATCTCTTTCTTCCACAGCCGGTGGTCTTCTGTTAATAGTTCTGAAGGGAAAATTGTTGAAGATTGGGAATATTTTGAAGTCCTTACGTGACTAGAGGCATGCTGTTGCAAGAATGGACACTCATGGTCTCACTTCCATCGCTACCGTAGCCTTGAGGCTCGGTCAACTGCATTCCGCCGTTTGCCACGCGCATGATGTGCTCACGATTTGGTCTCATTTGCGGGTATCTCACTCTGAAAAATGAAACTTTTAATCAAAAAAAAGTTAGCGTTTTAATCAACTATGATGAATCGTTTATCAGATTCGCGCAATAAAGACTAAATATTTTTAGGAATTTTTTTTTTGTGCAGTTTTTCGTCTTCATTTATCATATACTCACGATTATCAGCAACTTACCGTTCTTGAGTCTCTTCTTCTTCGTAGTGATGGTGGTCATTGGGTAGAGCCTTACTGTATGCTCGTGAGGCACCCATTTCTTCTCTCGTCACTGAAACAATACAATTTTCTTTTAACTTTTTACATTTATCACTTGGTCGCATTGCAGTAGCACTACGAGGGCGGCGATTTCGGGAGTTGGGCATGACGGATTGCTGTAAAAAGAAGTTCAAAATTATGTTTTATAACTTTCAGTTACCGTGTATCCATGATCAGAAAGGTAGCCGGAAGGTTGATTGATGTTCCAGTCCTCTTGATCGACAGCTGGACTTCGACCTTGTCGGCCTCGATCGTAGGTGCGACTTCTCCGGATTGTCTCAGAAACATCTCTTGCAGGATCATCATAGTAGTTATGATAATAATCTAGAAATAGCTTATGTTTAATAAGTTCCCTTTTGATTTTACCTGGTCCAAATGGGTGGTTGTAATGGAAATTCATCTCGGAATGAGGTCGATGCGGATATTGTGAGTAATATGAGGATTTTCGCAATCGAAGCCGCTGAAAAAATTCCGGTAGGAAAAGGAATTGGAGTGTCTTGCTTACGGTTCTAAGCGGATTGTCGTCATCCATATCTACTAAAGTACACATCAAGTTGGTACCGTCCAGCGGTACACTCGATAAATCGACCAGTGTCTCACCCAAAAAACTGTTTGCACCAAATTTGTCATAATCCCACAAGGTCACCTGAAAAATGGGACTTTTCAATCGGATCACTATGCTATGGTTTTCGAATTTTGTAGGGTGCATATTCATTGAAAATATTCTTTGTCCGCGATTTGAAGCGTTTGGGTTTGACTGCGATTTCTTTTTTTTTGTCCAATGACAACCCCGTAAAAAGAAAAGTGCAGGCAGATCGAAACCTTTTAAACCTTAGTAAAGGAGTATTATTATTAAAACATTGACTGAATTTATTTTGAGCGCGCCCTTTTATTCCTTAAATGCGACTGCCAAACTATTGAAACTCGCAGTTCGGCTAACGGAGTTCGCTGAGTCATTTTCGCTACTCACTTCAATAACCCTTTGCAAAACCATTGGCTCTGTGAGCCCATTGTAGTAAAATATATCATTCCACACTGGAAGTAATGTCTCTGCCAGGACCGCCGATTGTCGTCTCGATTTTTCACTGAATGTCAAATGTTTGGTATTTTAATCAAAAAGTCCCTAGCTACCTGCGATCAGGAAGCAAGAAAAGCTTGACGTAGGGGTTGCGCGGGGAGCCATCGGGTCGAGGCGGAAGGTCTAATGCTCGTTCCAACGCGACGGATAATTGCCGATCCTGATGGGAGTAGACAAGCGAAAGCTGAAAGCGTGTAGACTTTGAGATGAGACCTGAAAAAAACGACTGGAAAAACCTCAATTCGTCCAAAAATGTGTCCCTTTCCATAAGGTTGGTGGTCTGGAATAGGTGGACCGAATTCTGAACAATTTTGATGATATCTGATTTTTGCTCGAACTCTTGAACCGGGATAGAAAGATGTGACACTGGAGCGATGCCTTGGACTCAGTTGAGGTCCTGGATGAGGGAGATGGTGAGAAAGCATGACTGATTGAGAATGAGAAAGCTGTGGCAGCTGATGGCCTAACAAGGGAGATGGAGCTCTCGAGTAGTAGGTTTCGGGCGCTGAAAGTTATTTTTTCGATTTTCTAGAACTGGTCTTCGTAAATTGAAAATCTCATTTTTAAAGACGAAAGACATTACAAAGTCAGAAAGTTCAGTTTTTTTTTTCATATTTTTTCTGCTTTTAAAAGTTTTCTTCATTAGACATACCATGAGCCATCACAAATTGAGGATTAGGCAGTTGTCGCATTGTTCCTTGATTCGTAGGTTGCACGTTCAAAAAGTCGTCTCCACCAGGTAAACTGAATATATTTCATCATTTCCCGGCAAAAGTTCCATTTCAAACGTCGCGGATCGGCTGACAATCAACTCCACTTGAGTATCATACTTGCTGGCTGCAATGTTCTCATACACTTGCTCATAGGTCGCATTTTGCAGCGGATGTCCGTTCCACTCAATTACTTCATCTCCTTAATGAGTTGATTGGGAAGGTGAGTCGGCAGGAGGATTCTAACCTGGTCTCAAACGTCCCACAGTATCAGCTACACTTCCTGGTTTGACTTGGGTGATGAAAGCTCCGAGTCTTCCGGTGTCTGAACGTCGTCCTCCGACCACTTTCAACCCGAGGTCGCTGTTGTGCGCGTTGTCGATCCGGTGGAGGATCATGTGTCCGATTAATCGCTTTTGGTCGGCTGACGGTTGCCACGTAACGGGATGCTGGAATAAGGATATGATTATTGTCTTGAGAAATATTTTGAAAAAAATCATTTTTTTGCTTTAAGAGGTGAAAATCTTGAAATCTGAGAAAACTTTTTTTTCGTGAATTTTCTTTTAGTATTTTTTTTGATAATGATTTTTTGTAGGTAAACTATGAGCTACGGATTGATTGGGTTTCTCAAATTGATTAGAGTTGAAAACATTTTCTGTTCTAAACTCTCAAGCTTTGTCATGATAAGTAATCTCCGCTTCCTCAAAATTATTTTGTAGAGCTTGCGATCTCAAAAAGTTGCTCCCCAGAATTTCCAAAGCCAAAAATATATCGCTTAACTCGTAAAAAATTTATTTTGGGAGAAATGTCTTAGGTCGGTTGGGAAAAACAAGAGAGACGAAGAGCGGGCCAAAAAAACCAATTGAAAGCCCCCGAGGTCACTCGCCGACAGATACGTTCGAATTTTGGCGGCAAGCACATCTCCAGGGATCACGCCGGCGCCGGAGACCGACGGCGGAAGTCTTGACGGCGACGCCATCGCTCGCGCCGGCGACGTCGAATTCTCGCGCCCTCCGTTTCCTGAGAACGCTTTCCGAATTCTGTCATTGGATGGAGACTTTCTTACGTGCTTTCACTTTGCCCTTCTTCACCTCGTTGCCGTAGATGTATCGCAACAGGTCTGAAACAATACGGAATAACTTGTTCGGGAGAAGAAAGATTAGAGGGGAAAGCATACTTCTTGGAACTTTGAAAAACTTTGGCTCATATAGTTATACTGAACTGAAATTGGGACAGTCTCTGTCCGATAATTCAACTTAAACATTCACAAGTTTCTCAGAAAATTCCAAATCTTCAAAGGTTTGAGAAGTATGACCTTCGCTTTAGGAAAGAGAGTAAACGACTTTGATTGCAGCTCTTATTGCAGTTCGAAGATGAATTTAAAAGTATTTGAAAAATTTGCAAAAGTAATGATAGGTTTTCATGTCCTGATAATTTAGTGTAATTGAAAAGTAGACTTTGATCTTTTCGAATGCAAAAGTTATTAGTTCCTTCTCAAAACTGAAGTAATTTCATTCAAAGATCTCAAGTGTCCAAAAAGCAAAAACCAGTTCATTTATTTTCGATCAAAACACGTGGTCGAAATTTTCTTCAATCAACTACTTTAATGACTTTTAACTGGAAGAAGAAAGGAAATGTGGGACAGTGACTATGAGATTCTTTGAAAACCGCTGCTTTTGAGGGCAAAGATTCCAAACGCACGCAAACCCTTCTCGGAGTTACACTCCTCGGTCAGTCGCTGGACGGTGTCTTCGGTCTGGAGAATCCTTGAAGGTCCAGCCTCCACCTCTTCTTCCGATGACGACATCGACCTCAGTTGTCTGCAACTTTTTCACTTTAGAATCCCTAAATAGAAATCTTTTTGGCCCAAATGGATGCCACCACAATGAATATTGACAAATTCGCGGCAGACGCCAATAAAAAACTTAATGAGTCGGTGGCCGAATCAGGCTAAACGTTTTTGGCACTGGCCGTTGGTTTGGCTTTGAAATGTTGGCTGAAATGGAAAAAGAAGCAAAGGCTTGGGTTTTATGAAGAAACAAGAATGAGTTGTACAAATGAAGGGGCGGTCGATGGATTAAGTAATGACTAGACTCCGCCCATTTCATGATAATCAGAAACGTGACTAACGAGTACATTAAGTAAACTACTAGTGATTCATATCATTGTGTAGAAAAAAAGCCTGATGAAAAGCGTTCTGAAGTTAAAAGTTAATAAACAATTCTGAAAATGTGAACTTCAAAACCGACTTCCTGCACAAAGATAAAAGTTGGAAAGTACGAAATGAAGCAAAACATCGAAAAGTAGCAATTCTGCTCAAGGTTTGAATAAGTATAGACTTATGAAAAAGCTTTCCTTTACAAATATATATTTTTTTTCAAGTTCAAGAAATACGGTTAACTTGTAAAATGCTCAAAAAGGTCAAACTTTCCAAACTTTTGCTGAGTTAGAGGAATGAGTTAAAGAATTTGGACGAGAAGTTTAACTCATTTTGAACTTCGGTCAAATGACAGCCTTTCAAGCTCGAGTATGTAGTTTGAAATAGCTCATTTATATAGAAATTTCTTTTAGAAGTGAATAGGAATATTCAAAAACGCCTACGGTATCGTCAAAGTTAGTTTATTTCTTAACTCTTTTTGACAAATCCCATTGGTTTATGCAAAAAAAGAATCTGTTTTTAAGAAGAGAAATTTTCGAAAATGAGGTGTGAATTTGCACTGGGTTGAAGTAAATTTTTTTGTTTTTTCAAGTTGAAGTATTTCAAACTCAATCAGGCAATTTTCTAGCAGGATTTAACACTTGCGCTTTCCATCGTCTGTTTCAATAAATCGTAGCAGATACCTGTGGAGACGATTCTTTATCCGTGGTTCGGTGGATGGCGGCACGGCTCGGACGACGTTTTTGCGGCTTTTTTCCTCGGCTCGCTCTGAGAAGTCGCGCTTGAAAAGGGCGTCCTCCCGCAATTTCGGCAAACCTTTAGTGGCAGATGAGCCAAAGTGCGCCGAAGTGGAGTAATTTTCCTCAGTTACCCGTTCGGAAGTGTTTGGTACTTCACTTTCTCGTTGCCGCGAGCTGAAAATGGAGCTTTCAGTCAAGAGAGAAACTTGGTGTGAAAATTCTGGAAAAAAAGACAAGAATGAGTTTTTACAAAATCAAAGAACATATTTTCCCAACGAGAGAGAATTATCCTCCTCTAGGCAAGTTTGTGGAAGTTTCATTACAAATTTTCAAATTTCAGTTTTCATGCAACAAGATGTGAAAGAAAAAGAGTTCTCCGTTGTTTTCAAAGCTTCTCCAAGTAAGCCACATTTTCGGTTTTGAGATATGTGAGAAGAGAAACATAAAGGTATTTTGAAATTTGTGTCCACGTTTTTACTTTATTTTGAAAGCTTACAAGTGAAAGTTTTGTATAGATTTACGGTTCATCAGTTATTCAAAGCTACACCAAACTACAAAAAACGTATTTACTTTTGGTTCGGTTGCCTTTGTTGGTTGACTTCTTCACCAGCGTAGAATGTAGGTCTGCAAAAACATCATTCATGTCAAGTAGGAAGAAAAAATCTCCATTAAAAGAAATTGAATAAAAATTATCCGGCTTGAGATGCCATGTTCGAAAAGAATAAATGATGAAGAGCCTAGAATCTTTTTTATTTTTTTTTTGCGCCCGACACAATCCATCTGGCGCGTAAAGAGGGCAACAGTAAGATAATTCTTCAACTTTCCGTCTTTTTCTTTCAGAAAAGGCAGAGCGAAGATAACAGAGAAGTTTAAATTGCAACATTTTGTGATCGTTTCAAAATGATACTTCAATCGAGATCTACTCATCACTTCTCAGAATGGGCCACTCCGAACTCGAAAATCTATGGAGATCTGTGCAGACCTCGTCGTCGTTGACATTTTCCTCTCATTGTTTGTCGGCGGCCGTTGTTGGCGGTCCTGCGTCTCGGTCCGCTGCATATCACCTCTGCAGAAAAAACAAATTGTGACGTAAATTGCATAGAGTTATCGTGGAATTTATTAGCAAGGTTACGACTAGAATATTGGCTTGTTTTCAAGAACGCTTTGCCCAAATTGGTGCTTGAAAAGAGCTTTCAGAACGCCGATGAGGGAATAATTAACGAAAATGAAAAACGTTGATCAGATGGTTCTAAAGAAAAGGTACTATTTGCCTAAAATGAAATTTATATGAAATAATGTGAATGAAAACAAAAAAGCATAAATAAGCAGGTGCTCCGGAGAATCAAAGTAACCGAAGGAATTCGGAGTTCAAGTTGTTCATGAAACATTTTTTATTTTTTACTATTGTGAAAAAAGCGCATGTCAAAAAAATTGTAATTTTCCGTAAAATTAAATTGCCCTCAAAAATCGTAAGCTTCACAATTTTAATGGATGACAATTACTGAAAAAGTTTTTTCTTCTTCTCTCTACGTTAAGTTTCTGAATCCTTTTTTTCGAATATTGACTTTTTGATGTTTTAACTCTTTTCAAAGTTGAGGGAACTACTAAGTGCATTTCTGGCTTCCACAAAAGCTCAGAAATCATAAATGAAAGGGCAGTTTGAAACTTGCACGGGTGTATTTTCTCAAGAGGTACAAAAATTAGAGTGTTTTCTCACCCTGGGAAAATGTCTCACGCTGAACAGCAGTATGATCAAAAAACATCAGTTGTTCTCAAAAAAAAAGTCAAGTTACCGGGGTCTTTGATCGAAATTGGAGTTGGCTGCGTTGGAATTGGTGGTCCTTTGTTGCGGGAGATTCCCGTTGCCTTGTTGTTTTTTGTACTGTTCGTTCTGGAATAAATCATTGTTGAGACTATAAATTAAACAAGAGAAAGAAAATGAGAAGAAGCTAAGAATGAGAAGGACCTCGAGCGAAGGCTGCCGATGGAGGGTGTTTTGTCGCCGGTCTTCGCCCTGCCATCGCTTCGCCGTCGAGCCGCTCCGTTCCACCCCTGGTGTTTAATGCATACTAATTAAGCTATTATTTTCACCGATGACTGACTACAATTTTCAAAAACAAATTTATTGAAAAAGAAATGTTGAAACGATGAGCAAACCTTAGGTCGCAAAGGTCAAAAATGGAAGCAGAAAAAAAAGTAGCGTTCATTTTTTGTCATGTTAGCGTTTTGTGGGTTTCTCCGTGAAAAGTTGTTGCTGGTTTATGCCAATTCGAAACAGTGAGAATTGCAGTGAAAACTTTTCCCGCACATTTGGTTTGAACGCATTGAACTCAGTAAAGGGATCAATTGATATCTCAAATATTTAAAAGAATGAAATTACTTTTAATGATTGGAATTATTGAAATAGTGATGTTTCTTTCTCCTGGAATAGCTCATGAGAAATATTTTGAAGAGATTATTTGGCCTTGAAAACGTATTGAGTTACTCGAGTACCTACTTGAGTTTTTACTCAGACACTCATTGCATATTCCTCTTTCTTAATTGGATATTCTCTTAATAAATATTTGAAGGAGTGTTGGTTTATTTTTATACCACATGAGCTGCCGTAGAAATCAGTTTTTTTTTTCTCTTGAAACAGTCCGTAGTTTCATCAGTAAAAAAAGATTCCAGTAACCGTGTAACTTTTTTTTTGAGTTCCAAGAAAGAATTCTCTTTGAAGCTATTGCCGCGCTCTTGAAATTATTGAATGTATTTTTTGTTTATTATCGAATTTTAAGTTGCCTGCAGACCAAATTAGTCGAAACTTCTATCCTTTCCTGTTTCAAAAAGTCAAAAACACGATTTGAGTCCAACAGTTTTCATGAAGAAGTCTGATGTTTTTTTTCTTTTTCGTGAACACAACTCACTGGATGAATCTGGTTGAGGTCTTCTCTGGTCCGGAGGATGATGCTGCTGCTGAGGCTGAGGATTTTGCTGCGTCTGAGGATGGTGTGGCTGCGGAGCTTGAGAATGCTGAGGGACTTGTTGTTGTTGCGTGGGTCTTTCCTATAACAAGTCTCTTCTCTATTCAGTTTGAATTTTTGGAAAATTTGTTTAACGAACTTGATGAGGAACGTTCTGCGTAGGCATTTGCTGTTGTTGTTGTTGAGAACTTCGTGCTGGGTCGATTGGAAGTTGTTGCATTGAGACTGATGGTTGAGGACTGCAAATCCAAGAATCGTGATAGGCAAACAAAATGAGAGTTTGTTCTCAAACACGTCTTACAGATTGGAGCCTTCACTCCTCTCTATTGATGTGATGAAATTTTTGAGCGTCAGCTATTCAGTTCTTCAGATAACTTTTGAAATCAGCTCAAGAAAATTTAAAGTAAATATAAAGATGAAAGCTCAAATTCACTTTTGGCTTTGAAAACTGCAGGATATCGTTGTTGCTCGGTTATGAAAGAGCAATGTAATGTTTAAAAAAGCCGAAAAAATACCACATCGAGTTTCACATATATCCAAAGGAAATTTGGAAACAAGACACTACCCAATAGAAAATAGAATCGAGAGCTGCAAACGCAAAAAGTCGCAGTGAAAACACTCTCCGTTAAAATAAAAATTCACTCTCATTAACGTCTTATTGAGATTGACGGCTCAGCTTTTTTCTTTTTATGTACGAAAAGCTTGAAATGTTCAAATTATATTTTTGCTCGATGAAACGTGAAAAAAATTTAGAAAATATGTTATGATGAGACGGATGGAGCAATTACATTACAAACGACTTTCATGACAGAAGTGAATTAAAATTTTTTTCAAAGTTTTGAAATGATAAAAGATGAAAGGATTTTATCTTTTGAAATTTTCTAGAAGCATTGCAAGATTGTGAGTAGATTTAAATGCTGCAAAATTGGAAATGAACTGGAGAAAAAAAAATGGTGAAACAGCGTTTTCAGTAAAGGTAAGAGTGAAAATGAGGAATAAAGTTAGCTGAGAGAATTTGCCGAATTTTCAAAAAAATTCAAAATTAAACGATGATATATTAATGAACACCAACATTTAGTCATTTTAAAGATTTTTCAAATTTTCCGAAGCAGTTATCCAACTTCCATGAAATGAAATTCTCGAAGTTAAGTTTCGCCATAACTTTGAGTTTCTTAAGTTCACCTGTCTGAAAAATTTCCCTAAGTTTTCTTAGAGGTGTTCTTCGAAGTTGAATTTTGTAAAAAATGAAAAAAAATAAAATATTTTTCCAGTACAGTTGCTTTAAAAATACCCGGAAGAATAAATCCCGAACTTGGAAAGCGACAGAGGAAAAATAAGCAAACGCGTGGCGCAAACCTCGACGCTTGGGATGGCGAGCCGGAAACGCTAATTTTCGGCTGCGGCGGCTCTTCTGGCTGGAACCATTTGCCCGTTTTCGCCAGGATTTGTTGCCGTTTTTGGCATAACGAGCACGCCCAGATTGCCTGAAGCAATCTGTTTTAATCTGTCGTTATCCACTCGAGAGCCGAGTTGGAAACGACCTTGTTTTTTGATTGGGCTCGTCCGCCGCAACGGGCGCAGCTTCGCAGTTGACAGTAGAAGCATTTGTGTCCTGAAAAATGAATTTTTTGGTTGGAACGCATTTTTTGCAATGGAAAGGAGACAGTGTCGTGTTCAGAAAGCTGACCAAATATCAATTCAATTACGAGTTACACGATTCAATTAGGATCAGAGAGAGTTGTTGAGTGCTTGTTTAGAACTTTCGCAGCTCCGAAATTGAACTTTGATTGAAAACTGTTCCCTTAAGACATTTTTGTTCGAAGTGATAAGAGATTTCTAACGCAGTGAACGTGATATTTCAATGAAAAAATTCATCTTGTCTTTTTATTCGTCTCGAAATTCAGGAATATTCGAAAGTAGTGCCAACCTCAGGGATATCTGATCACGAAACTTCGAATAGCAACTTTAATTTCAAAAAAATTTACTAAAAAGAAAGTTGAATCCCTGACGAGGTAGTTTTTTTATGCTGAACAGTTTTCGAGTTCGAGACACGAAACGTTTTTCATCACAAAATCATTGCAAAATGTTTCCTCGGTTGAAAAGTACTCTAATTACGCAATTTTTATGACCGATTCGATAAAAAACTTCTTGGTTGAATATTTGGTCCTTGATTCAAGAATCAGTTATGCTTTGAAAAAAGACACGTTTGGAAGAAGGTGTTTTAAAAACAGAATCATATTATTTTCTTCATTTTTCGAGTCGTATACAATGGTTGGAAAAATGATCGATTTTGTATGAAACTTCCTTTTTGGACTCTCTCACAGAAACATTTCCAGAGTCAAATCTTATTTTACAAGCTCTCGTTGAGAAAACTTTTCATAGATTCACTGTTTCTTTGCTCAACACAATCCGTTCTGAATGATTGAAAGCCGTTTTCTTTCAACAGCTTTTTCTCACTTTGATTGATTCAACTGACAGAACAGTCGTTGCTAAGATGCGTAGCAAATTTTGAGAAACAGAAGTCTCAAAATGGAGAAATATGGAAGAGGAGTACCTATCCCATCGGCAAATTTGGTCTTCTGGCATATTTGACAAATGGCGTCGTCTTGTGTGCCTATCAACTTCCTCGACGTCTCTTTCCGCTCATTTAGCTGCTTGTCCAGTTCTTCCAGCTCCTCCGACGCTTTCCTGCGAAAAATTGACCTTTTCAAAGAACGGAAAAAGTTACTCATTTGCATGTAAGAAGGGCATTTGGACTTATTAAGGGACATAAGAAATGCAACAATTGCGTTGGTAATGTGGATCATTTTTTTGAAAAAATGTGCAGAATATTAAATTTTATCGACTGAACTCTTATAATAAATTTAAAAAAAGTATAGATGATTTTAATTTCCAATGATAAGTTGCTTGAATGCAACAGAACAAAAAAACGTTTGAAAACTTTTTTTGAAATGACAAGGTTTGAAAAATTTGATTCTGATTGTCTTCGAACAAAAACAAAAAAATTTTTCACTTTTTTTCTTGATTTGGAAAAATAATTTAATTTTTTTCAAGTGAAATTTCTGTGCTGTTAAGTTGGTCAGCTCATAAAAAAATTCTTCATAAATAATCTTCCATATGCTGTGAAAACACTCTCAAGTAGAATGAAGATTCATTCTAAACTTTTCTTTGAAACAAATTTCGAAACTTTTTTGTACTTTTTTCTCTGAAGCTCCCCATTCCAATCCACATTTTGAGTAACTCAAAAGTAAAGTTCATGCTCCAGAGACTCCGAAAACCTTTCAAGTACATCAAATCAACTGAAATATCCAGTTTCCCATATTCAGAAGCCCCTCAAAAAAGTACATACTGTGACATTTGCACTTCCTTCGCTTCTTCATCTCGCTGCCGCTTGAACACCTGCAATTCAAGCCGTTTGGGGTTTGTCAGAAAATACACTTTTGCTCCAATTTCTTTTCTGTTTGATTAGTTCGCCACTTGGGACAAATAAGGCGAAAACTCAGGTATGCGAAATGGGTGACGTGCCTCACCTGTTCTATTATTTCTCGCTCTTCCGCTGAAAGGTGGGACAAGTCTGGCATCAACGCGGGGTCGTCCATCCTGCAAATTTGAAGTTTAAAAGAGAAAGAAGGAACTAAAATTGGGAAAAGTTTGGTTTTTGCATCGTTGATGGCGCCAAAAAATATGTAGCCTGTAACTGGTCCTAGCCTTCAGTCATACTTTATTCGAGCCTGAACTTATCCGGCGCAGTTTTTTGAGCAGAATCTGTTTCAAAAAAATGTCGAGGAGATATGTGCTCATTCATGGACTATATGATAATTTGGCTCCGGGTTAGGAAAAAAAGCAAATATTTTAATTTTTTTTTTTTTTTGAGTTCAGTGCTTTATCTAACTTTGAGTGGCGTCTTTTTTCACAAAATTCATGAGACTTTTTGAATAAGGTTTCTTGTTTTCCGTAACGTGTATCGGGTCATATCGCATTTTTATGTAAAGTTTCACAGCAATCGAGATTGATTGAAAACATTAAAGCCAAAAATGCGAGTGTTCGTATCTTTTTGATCGGTACTGTAAAATCAAAATTAACGTGAATCTCAAAATTTAGAAAACGTAGAGTTATTTGAAAGTCCCAAGTGGACTAAAACAAATAATTTTAAAATATAAACGCTAAAATTAAATAAAAAATGCATGCACAATAGAAAAACGAGCACTTTAAGTTTGATTTTACCTTAATAAAGTTATAAACATTAAGTCATTTCAAAGCAACTTTTCGATTTGCCAATAAAGAAAAACTCTGATCGAATAGCAGTACAGAAATTCCTCAGTTTAATTGAAATATTTTATGTAAAAAAACTACAAATCCTCTGTAATAATAACCTCAATGCTGATAAAAAAAAATTTTTTTCTCGATTTTTTTCAGATTTTTTTTTTCGCACAATCGGAAATCAGAAAAGTATCCAAACCAGTACCTTTTTTAGTTAGCGGCTATCTCAACCCGCGCAAGCCAAACATAAGCAGTTTGTGTCGTGCCGGCGCAAACTAACAACGTTATGGCTGTAAATAGATTCTTTTTTCTTCTCTTTTCACAAACGACAACGGAAAGTCCAGACGGAGGTAACGGATCGACGTGCGAATTATCGAGATTTGGCATTTTGTTAGAATTGAGAATGGACGCAAAGAGATGTCTCGGATTATAGCTGGTCAAAAGTACAAACTGATAAAAATTGGAAGAAGACGAGAAAAAAGAATGAATCAGAAGAAAGACGCAACTTTTCAATTCACACGAAATTTGCAATCTCTCGGGAGAGTCCAAAGATTTCGGAGTCGAGCTCAAAAAATGATTAGCATGAGTTTTTAAAGTTGATTATCCCGATTTATTGTCGAATCTAAAAAATGTTTCACTTTTGAGGAGATTGAGAGAAAAGTTGAGAATCTTATTCGTGCAGCAAAATATCTCAAATGATTCATATTGGTCAGAACTTCACTTTTTCAAACATACTCAATCCCTAAATCCTGTTTCTCAAGACTCTTATACAGAAATGGAGTTCTAAAACTGATGGTTGAGGTGTTTTTTTTTTGGAAAAATGATCCCAGTATTAAAAGAGTACAATTAGACAAAGTAGGAATATAAAATAAAAAACAACATTCAAGGGCAAAAGGAAGGTTAGGAGAGACGGAAATCGATGAAAAGCATTAGCGATGTGCATTTAAGTTCTGCCGAACGTAAGGCCGGCATTCAGCGGTGTGGCCACCCCGTTTGATTCATAATTCGTCAGTGCGTGCGAAAGAAAGGACGAGAAAAAGCTAGGGGAAAAGCTCCGAATATGGGACATTTCTCCGGTTTTTTTTCCGCTCACACAAAACACTCACAAACGCTCAAACTCACGTCGCATCATTTTATTCCGCTTGAAACATCGTCTCGTCTCTTCGCTTCGCACAATTTGCTCCACGGCCAGTTCACACGGAAAAGAAAAGAAGCCCACACCCAAAAAAAGGCTATCGCATTTTGCTCTCTATGTGCTCGCGGTGAAAAATTAATATACGCCCGCTCGTCTTGGTGCGTTTACCTAAAATAGTGACAAAATGGTCGGCGACTACGGTAGCTTAGGAGAGACATCAGAAGAGACTTTTTCATCTATTTACACTGGACTATGAACTATGAATTGCTGCTCAAGTATGTATGTATATTTATGCCCTTCTTTTCTTCCATCTGCATATTTGCCGTCTTAAAGACGAGGAAAAAAAGACTGAAGCGTTTCGCAAGACTCCTGTGAATTCAAAATTCCTATTTGATCGGAAGTAAATTTACTTCATTGGCTTGAACATCAATTTAAAAATTTTGAGACTCTTGGTTCGAGTACAAAAAAACTCGGTATTCATTTTGGAAAGTCGAGAAAACCTAATTCATCGTTATCGTTTACGATTCTTCTCCAATTATGGCTTCGAAAAAAGTGGCTTCAAGATTGAAAAGATCGCAAGATTCTAAATATGAACTTAGAAAGATTTCAAAGTCTTCTCACGTTAAAATGACCATTCGAAAAAAATTAATGAGTAACTAAATATAGTTGTAGATTAGAACACAAAAGCCTCGGCTCTTGGGAAGACATAGAAATTACAAAAAGTTTCACTTCAAAAATTTCAGTTGAAACATCGGCTAGTTTGGTTGCGTAGGAACGGAAATTAAACTTATATTTTTTTGGATTTATGGGCAGTGTAACATTCAATTAAGCAATGCGTTTCAAATGTTTTTTTGTGAGACACAGGAAAAAGTATTTAAAATTGTGGAAAAATTGAAAGGATCACTAGATCCTGATGAAAAATTTTCGAAAAATAAATTCAAATCGGCGTCGTTAGAAAGTTTAAACAGTAGGGCAAGTTTTTGGAAAAACTTCTGTTCAAGTCAAACAATTTTATTTTTTTATTGCATGTGCAAAAAGAATTACAGAAAAAGGTAAAATAATTTAAAAAAACTTTGAAGATGGAAAAAAAAGTTCAAGAAAACCTGGAGATTGATCCGTTTGAAAAAAACAGATTAACTCAAAGCGAAATGTAATTTGAAACTTTGAAAATTACGGGCAAACATTACTTTTTTCAATGATTATGCAGTATATCGTTGAACAATGCTGTGAGGCGTTTTTTCAATGTAAAACTACTTTTCTGATATCTTTTGGATTGAGCCATAGCAAAAAATAAAGGCTTGAGTAATTAATTCCAATTTTCGAACGAAAACGGCTAGAAAAAACAAGAATCTGCAATATTTATTCACTCGCGTGCACAATTCTCCTTCTCATTTCATTTTTTGCACTGAACCAAAAATTTCACGTCGATAATCATTTTCATTATTTTCGTGTCGCAAAAAATGCGGAATCAAGGGATAAAGGTTGTGAGAAAGACTACTAAAAAGTCGGAACTCGAATAAATTAAGTTAAGCTGACCTTCAAGCTGATTTGAGTTAAGCTGAGTTTGCAATACTATTTTTCTAGCGATATGAAGATAGAATGAATTATTTGTAGAAGGACAGCTGAAAAATAGAAACGCTTAAAAAACGGCCAGCTTCTCCACAAGCGAGTTTTTGTTTTCAGCGGATTTGATATGCGGATTAGATTTGGATTATGAACACTTTGAAGTGAGCAAAAATATCCACAGTACATGTCCTTTTATGGAGATTTCCTCGATGATAGAGATGCAAAAAAGCTTTTATCAAGGATCAAAATGGGAAAAAAGCTTTGTTGACGTTAGTAAAAGATTGAAGAAAGTAGGAAATCTTTTTGCTCTTTCGAGATTTCCAATCCTTGATGAAAACATAAATCCCAATTTTATCAAAGTTTTCAATTAATAGTGAAACGTAAAATTCCAATAAAAAGCTTGGTTAAAAATCCAGTTAAAAAAAGAGGAAAAGATCTTCAAATCAACTCAGTGGGTGAAAAACGTATGGTACAGCTTCAGGTTTCAAAAAGGACGTTTTCCGAAACTTTCAGAATTTTTGATGACACAGGCAAAAAAATATAAAAAAATAGAGTTGCTTCCAGGAAAGTTTGGGAACTTTGAGAAAAACTGCTGGAAAAACTTAAATTATAAGAAAAATTTTTTTGATTTCAATTTTTAAAAAAAGAATTGAAGATGTTGATGTATTGAAAATGTGAATTTTATCAAAACAGTTTCACTTCTTTCCAATTTTTTTCTTATCTCTTTGAGTTTTTTTCTGAACTAAATGAACAAAAGAAAAAAACACGTTTCCGTAGTTTTTCTACAGTAACGAAAAAAAAAATCAGAAGGTTCACGGGAATTTCGTATTATTATTCGTATTGAATAAATGATGAAGAAGAAGAAGAAAGAAAACAATAAAAATTCAAAACTTTGTATTTGGAACAACTTGAAGATTTGATAAAAACGTGTCTAAACAAAATTTCGAAGTTATTTTGAAATTTAAAGCCAATCTGTGAGAAAGAGCTTTTTCAGAAGAAAATTTTCTTTTAAGTTAACGCTCAAAAATAAAACTACTTCTAAGATTATCCAGAGAAGTGCAGTTTCCATTTGTGACTCAAACTCACAAACAACTATAAGTAAGAAGAAAAAGCAAGAATTATAATAACCAACAAAGATTAGCATAAAGTTAGCATGTCTTGGAAGAGAAAACGGCACAGATCCGAGGGCGGCGGATGACGTTGGGAGGATGAGATATACTGGCTCGGCTTCGATATTTTGCTCTTGCCGGCTTGTGCAATGCATTGTTTACTTGTTGCGCCAAGAAAATCGAGGCAAAAAAGGACGAAGAGCCCAAAATCGTGGGCTTTACAGAGATTCGTCTGCCCCTACATCTCCTACACGATTCGAGAAGGTGAAAAGCGTGGTGGATTTTCTCACAATGCGAGTGAGTGCATCTGCAGTCGTTCAGTCATCCATTCTGAAGGCCGTGGGACCTTCTGGACAAGTTAATTGGCCGAATTCGCTTCCTGACGGGTTAAAGGACATGTTTCAATTGGTTTCGCGTACAACTGACGCTTTTCGGAGCAGAAAAAAGAAAGAAACGTTGTGATGAGTAGGAACCAAAAAAAAAGAGGAATGAGAAAAGTTTAGGTTCAAAAAAAGTTCAACTTTGATAAAACCTTGTTTTAGGGGGAATTTCATCATATCTCTTATTAATTCCTTTGAAACAAAAATGGAATGACACTGTTTCCAATTTGGAAGGAAAGTGTTCACAAAAAAAAGCAAAAACCTTTTTTTAAAGATTTTATATCCTACCTCTTTTTGGAATGCAGTTCACTTAGAAAGTTATAAATCAAAGTTCCGAAAAAAATAAAGTTGATTTAAAAATTATTCTTCACATTTTTTTCTTCGTTTTAATTTTTTTGAGAGAATCGCAATATTAAAATTGAAAAATGAAAAAGTTTATCTTTCCCTTCATTATTGTGTTATAACAGGAGGAACTAGTGGAAAAAAAGTTTGTGGCAAGATAATAAGTAGATTTCTAAAATAGAACTGTCAACAAGATCATTTCTGATACGTCGTTATGTTCTTGTAAAATCAAAAATTAGGAGCAACATTATGAAAAAAACAACACAATTTTTTTTCTGGAAATCTTGAAAAAATCAAAAAATCAAAATAAAAAAAACTTCTATTCAAGCAAAACAAATTAGAAAGTCAAAAAGTAAATTAAAAAATTCACTCAAAAAACAGTAAAAAATCTTTGTTGTTCTCAAATTTAGCAAATTATCACATGTCTACAAGAATTTTTAAATCTGATTATATATTTCCATAAAAAATCTGGCAGGTGGAAAAAAACTTCATTACAGGAATGGAAAAAGAGGTTTGAAAAAGGGAATAGTAATTGAAGAATAAGAATTTAGCGGTTTTAGAAATACATTGAACACCGAATAAAGTCTTTTTGGACTTTGATCTTTGACTGTACTTCAGAGTCACAACTTCATTCAATCAAATCATCTCTAAAATTTAGCTTCACAGCTTAAATTGTACCAAGATATTTACAAAAAAATAAAAAGCAAAAAAATTTAGAAATATACAAGTACAAGAATTGAGATAATGGGCACAAAATATTATAATATTTCACTCGAGAAATAACCAAGTATGAAAAAAATTATTACTAAAATACAGAAACAAGTTGTGTATAGAGCCATTCAACGCGATTTTCGAAACTTCGAAACTTCTTTTTCTCACCTAAAGTTTTGGGTTGGCTCATTCGTTCCAATTGAAAAGGCAGGAAGTTTTGGAAATTGTCAGAAAATCAAACGGAAACTCTGTAAAGGACGAATGAAAAAAAAAAACAAAAAGTTCGATCTGCATGGAATTGGAATGTTGGAAATAAACAAAAAAAGTTTGCAAAAGCATTTTTAATCTGGTCGCATTAAAAAAATAATAATAAAACCTCCCTCTGAATGATTTTTAATTCAAATCGAGGAATCTTCGGAACAGTCACAAATGAAGTCAAAAAATTATGTATCATAGACCACGTTATGAATGAACTTTGCATCAAATTTTCAATAAGAACTTATAGTTTACAAAAACAAAAGTAGATTACACCTTTTCCGGAAAAAGAGATTTTCACAGCTCAGGCTTAGATTTAGATTTGAAGAATTGAAAGTGTCAGGAGATTCTCAGAATAAATTAATAATTCCAGTACTTTGACAGATGCATTGTGAAAGAAAAGGATGGAGAGCTAAAATACCTAATCTTCGTCACTTGACCCATACTTTTTGAAAGTAAGTACATGAAGAAGCAAAAGTGGAAAGAAGTTGATTCAACCAACAGGTGCAAGTGCAAGTGAAGCGTAAAAACGTTGAAGCGAGCCAAAAAAGAAGGGTGGTCGAAAAAGGTTGGGTAAAAGGGGAAAAAAAACAAGAAGCCTAATTGCATGGTAAGGTGCGAGGAAAAGCTGACACGAGAGAGGTTAAGCGGCCTCAATTCGACAAGCTGCCTGCGCCCATGGCGGCTATCTATCGACACAACGGAGGGAGAGCCGAAGGCCTCCGCCGCGCCAGCAGCAGAAACATGCAGCACATCGATTCTGTCTCGCTCCGTGGACGGCATCTGCCCATCGCCTTCTATTTCTTCGCCTTCAATTTTCTTACGCTCCACTCCGAACCGAACCCAAGGCAAACCAAGCCAAGCCAAGCCAAGCCAACGGCTTCTTCTTCTTTTTCGTCTTCTTCTTCTTTTTCTTCTTCTGGCGCGGCCTCGACGCGTACTTCTCGAAGCTCACCGAAAACGCTCACACTCCCAAATATACACACAAAAACACACACACACGTCTAATATCCCTTTAACATATCCTTGCGTGAAATGGTAATGACATGCCTACGTCTTTTTTCCTTCTCTTCTCCGTTTCTTCCTTTTCTTGATAAACCAATCAACTCGATGGACGTGACTCGGAGGCTTGTTTGTCCCGTTGCAGTGTTTGACGTCGCCAGATTTTTGAGGTTTTCAGAAGAATCATGGTATAATCATTTAGATGAGTGAATATGTCCTGATTTGCGTGTCCTCTTTCAATGTTAAAAAGAAGAAGAAAAATATGATAAGTAAAAACATCAGGTCAAAAAAATAGAAAAAAATGCTTTTAAATTTCTTTCCACCTGCTCCACATTTTTTTCAAAGTTTCACTGTTCTTGAGTTTCATTTTTTTGATTGAGACTCAAATTTTTCAAAAACAAAAAGCAGCTGATCAGAAAAAAAGTTTTTTTAAATTATTATGCACACGTACTTACAATAACAGAAAAAAACTGTGAACTAAAAATATTGATGAATTTATTTGGTTTTTCGGCAATTCATGCTAATAGAAATTATATTATACAAGTTCTTCTCAGTTTTTCATTTCTAAGAGATCTTCTAGTTTCGGTTTTTTTCAATTTTAAGAATAAAATAAAAACTAAAAAAAATGACCTTCGAAATTTTTTTCCTCATTTCCAGCGACGGCCTTCCAGAAACAGAATTATTAATATAGAGATTCTCTTATAAAGTTTATATATTTTTTTCCATGATTAACCAAAGCGGTTAGATATAAAAAAAACCGGCATGAAAAAGCGAGAATTGGCACAATGAGCATTGATAAACTAGAAAGCTAGTAGTATCATTGTTTCGAGGAAGAAATTTGATTGCACAGCTTTGGTTCAACAAAAATTAACTAAAAGAAGGAATATAATAGTTTATCCCAGTATGAAAATTTTACTGATGGACTTTTTCCTGTTCTAAAAGCTCAAAGTACGTAATTACAGCCGAAATGGAAACTCACACACAGAAAACGCCAAAAACTTCATTAGTGCGTTGTTCAAATTTGGCGAGGGGAAAAACTCAATTTGGGAGGTTGTCATGAAAGGTGCGGTGTTTATTCATAGACATCACATTCAACAAGCTCATTCATTATTTACTCTCCCAGAGCGAAAATGGGGAAATGCGATTAACGAGCAACAAAAAAGTTGGAGCCGTGCAGCAATAACCATTAAACAAATGCGTTTGTGGAGATTGGTAGTCTGGCAGTAAGGCTGGAGTAAATTGGAAAGAGCAATACGCTGATGTAGGTTCGAATTTTTCTCAAAGTTAGAGCTTCCCAAATGCCTGGGTTCCGTTTTTTGAACTGTTTTTGAAAGCAGGAAAATACTCAAAAAAGGTCGAAATCTCAGATAAGATTTGACAAAGAAGGTCCTTTTACTTTGCGGATTTCCTGAAATTGGGCAAAGCTTTCCTAGATGTAGAGTATGAAAACTCTAAAAGTGTCAACTTGCATAACTGTTTAGTTTTTAAGAAGAAAGGTTACAAAGCCACAAAATAGTTCATTTCAACGGGTTTGAAAGAGGGGGGATTTTGACCGACTAAAAAACGCTTACACCCCCCCTTTTTGAACTTTTGATGAAAGCTTTTCTGACGAGTTCTTAAGAACCTACTGATTACAGTACAAAAGTTTTCGAGTTTAGACACTTTTCTCGAGGAGTGTTTTTTCTGTTTCGGAATCAAGAGGTTCTAGGGTACACTTCAGCAAAGTTTCATCAAAAGTTCAACCGGACAGCACCTGGTGCATCCAGAAGTGTTTCAGCCAAATTTCAAGAAAATCTCAACGCAAAGTAAAATGACCTGCTTTAAGAGGAGCCGCGGATGGAATCGCTCAAAGCAAATCTACTCGAAAGGAGTTCCTCAGCCGTTTGCTCCAATGATCACCCCATGCCTCGACGTTGCTGTTTTTGTCGGACGAGTTATACCGAGAAAAATATCGAGACTAGATGAATCGTTTTCAAAGTACAGCAATAGTTTGTAGTTAGGTGAACGGAAACGTGAAAAAAGCTTCTTTTCTTCATTTGCAGGTCATACCCAAAAAGAGCAAATATTTATGCCGGAGGAGAAAAACTTGATAAGTTGACAGATATGAAAAAAAAGCGAAGAGTTAGCGGATGAATCTCGAGCGAGGAGTTCCACAAGACGGACACGGCGGACAGGTACCGCCAGGGTTATAGCCTCCGACGTTTCCTTCGCAAACGAATTGGAAACGCTCGTCACAATTCGCACTCAGCCATCTACCGTCGGAGATGCGGACAATCATGCATTTGCGATCATCTTCCGGCTCGCCTATAACAAACAAGTTCTAACCATTTTCTCTAATTGCCCTAACACGGAGAGCTATTTTTCTCGACACAATTGAGGATAAACAGCTGACCTGGCACTAAATATTTAAGTTGTTGTTCTGTTTCTAAGACATTTCAAAAAGTTTACTTTCTTGGTTAAGAAGTATTTTTACAATCAAATCAAAAGCTGAAGCGACCAAACACGCATCGGCAAACTCATTAAGCTTTCGTGACGAAGACCCTTTTGCCGTATTTATTTGGATTATTCCTTTTAGAATGGGATTTTCACTAGGGAAATGGTTCCTCGTTAACTCATTTTGAAAAGACAACTTTCCAACTTGAATGACAATTGGAGAGTTAAAATGTGTCGAAATTAAAATTAGGTTAACAAATTTTCAATAAGACAACCAAATGAATCAGTAAATGATTCAAGAAAATTTTGGAAAGAAACATTTTGTCGAAATGTTCAGTGCAAAGCACAAAAGTTATTAGCTCAAAATCTGTGAAATAATTTCTAGAACCTTGAAAAATGTTCCGACACAACTTCGCATAGCCCTCATTTTCTTGGTTTATTTTTCCCTTTTTTTCGATCGATTACTGCAATTTTGGGTCTGAAGTTTACCTTACGTTTGATCAAAATATTACCTGGAACCCAATTGGTAAAGTTGGCCGGAGAACCATCTTCCCAAACCCAGCGGGAAGACTGGTTTTTTAATCCAGTGTAGAAGAAACCGTAGGTCAAGTCAAGATTGTCCGTGGCATAGTCTGAAATCTTATCTATCTGTCTATTGATTTCCAGCTTATTTTTGAGAGTAGACGTTTCGGAAATAACTGGAACACACTTGAGAATCTTTGCGCACACAAAACTTAATTGTGCAAGAAATCCGAGCCGCGAAAAACGTCATGGATCAGGTTGCAAATGAATAAATCCCCACCAGTGACGTAGTAATTTTGGAACGCGTTGATTAGTTTCACGAGGCCATAGCCCATCTTTTGACACGTCTCTTGAGCAGTTTTGAAAGTTCCTTGTACTCGGAAATACGAGTAACATCTGGAAAATTGGAAGATTTGATTGCAATGAGAGATATAAAGTGAGGATTTCAAATTCAAAAATGATATGTAAAAATTAATAAATTAAAAATTTCAGTTTATGATCAAATTCAATTTTGAACGTTTCTGTAGCCCTTTGTTCAGAGATATAAAAAAAAGTATTCCGTCATTTCCAGAATCTAACGCCGACACATATTGATAAAATATTTGGTTTGTCATTTCTCGTCATTTTTGATAATAAATTGACCTCAATGAACAAATGAGAAAAATTTCCGATACTGAAGATTTTTTTGAGAGGTCAACTTCAAACTTTGATTTTTCACAGAAATAGTTATTTTTTTCTCTCTTGATGAAAAACTTCGAAGAGAAAAAAATACACATAACATTTTTTTGATTTAACATTCAAAAAAACCGAAAAAAAGTCAGATCGGCTTACTTTTCTCATCCTAGCCCAAAAAACTAGAAGCCCCAATTTCTATCTTTTTAAAGCTTACTTTTTCAGAGAGTCGTCGTAGACATCCGTCCCAGGACACTTCTGAGATTCAACAAAAATGATCAAAACAGCGAAAACGAAGAAATAACGCATGATAGAATTGTTCAAGTTTGAAGAGACACACAGTATCAGATAGTAACCAAGTCTTATAAATAGAGAAATCAATGATTACCAAACCTTTTTATCAGCCTAATCAACGCTTATTATCAGCGAGGTGGACATATTCGTGTGGAAAAACGTCAAGACAACGCCCCAACTTTATCTTACTGATGCTTGAAGATGATAAAAAAGGCGTTCTAGAATAAAACTTAGATAAAGGTGTGAAAGCATTTGACCATGACGATTGTAATATTTTTGTGACGCAGAAAAAATCTTCAAAAATTAAAAACCTTGTAACAGAAATGTTTATCAAGGTGCACAGAAGTATAATCCACAAAATTGTCATCTAACATCAACAAAATAGACACAGGTTTTCATCACAAAATATCCCGGAAAGTAAATTTTTTTTTCATAATAATTTTTCTTTCAACCTTGAATTATAAAAAAAAAGTTATAACCCCTGATAAAAAGAAAAAAAAGAAAGCCAATAGAACAACCGAATCTTTTTAGCTGAAAACTTTTCAAAATCCAAGTGAAAAAACAATAGAAATACTAATCCATGACCGCTAAGGCTGCAAAACCGTTCAGGTCCTACAATAATTCATCAAAGGAAAAAAAAGAGTGACTATTTGAACACAATAACTAGACGAGTGGAGGGTTAGAAAGACGGAAATAGTGTAAATATCACATGGATTTTCAGAAACAACACGGTAAAACGGCACCTAGTCGAATCTGACACGAAAATGGGAAACGGTACGAGAATCCAAATTACAGTTGAACCGTCAGTTTGGTAGGGTACAAGATATGAAAGAAGATAGAAAACAAAAGGGTACTCGAAGGAGGTCATTGATTAAGGTTAAGCATCTTTCTTCTACGATAACGTCTAGCTAGTTCTGGTCGAATTTTGAGAAGGAACCCAGAAGGTTCTTCGCCGTTGAAAGGATCGACGCCGTCATCTTCCGAAGACTCTTCAGGGGAGGGAGGGGTCTCCGTTTTCTGTAAACTTTTCATTTTGAAACGGAAAAAAAAAGGATAAAGTGATTCGAAGATTTTTTTCATTCGTCTAAAGTTGACTCAGCCTTTGATCTATTTTTTTTGTTAAGTTTCCAGCTCCAAGTGTGAGAATAACGGATGTTTCGAAAAAAAATTTCTCGATTTTTAGTTCCACCAATCAATTATTTATTCTACTGTTTCAGTCAAAAATGCAATCTACTAGGCGGTGAGCAAGAAACTTCCAAAGCATAAGTTTTCAGTCTTGCAAAGCATGGTTTAAAGGGTTGTCGCAACTATTGAAAATCCACAACCTAGAACTTTGGAACACACGCAGCAAAAACTAAACGCAGAAGGCTGATTCCTAATCATTTTATAGAGTAGTTATTTCATTTATACAAAGTCTGGTATAAACGTGAAACACATCCACCATTTTCCAGTTTCTTTTTTCAACAAACTTTTTATCATGAAAAAGCTCGAAAATTAGAGTTCCTATCTCCATTCCTAGTGATGTGTTATCAAAAAAAAAACCTGGTCGCTATCATCCGAATCTTCTTCTTTTTCCTCAGGCAGTTCCTCGTTGTCGCTCTCTGGCACTTCTTTGATTCCGATAATGGCTTTTCCCTCTCTCCGCATGTTTTTTGGCAGTTTTTCGGGCTTGTGCTCTTGCCATTGGAATCCAAGGATTTCTTCGTGGATTTTCTTGGTTGGTCTCACATCTTCGTCCTCTCCGACAGAGGTTCTGAAAGGAGGAAGTTATTTGACTTCAACAAGGGAAAATATCACCTCGAAGAGCTTCTTGACGACTTGAGAGAAGAATTTTCTTGAATTGTTTCGAAAATTGCATTCTTGAGATCCATCGATTTCAATCCGCCTTCAATGGCGAGAACGGAAGTTTCTGTAAAAAAACACTTGTGAAGCTCTTCAAACTTTTTTGTCTAACTGGCTCGGTCAGCGGCGCTTCGCAGAGAAATCACATCAGTGAAGACATATTCTCCTGAAGAAAAAATAGATTATAATGAGATCTTTTTCAAATGATTCTCTATGTGCGGATAGAACGTTAAGATCAAATAATCTGACCTTCGCTACTTTGACGATGTTGCTGCAAGGCGATTTCACTAGGACGGATCGCTTCTTCCTCGAAATCGCGCCTAAAATGATTTGACCTCCCATCAATTTTTTTTTTTCGAATTCGAACCTGCTCGGGCTGTCAACGCTGGCAACTGAACCGCTACCAGAACGACCGACTCCGATCTGGCCGAAATCCATTTCGACATGATTGTCCTGGCTAACGTCTCGTGGGACACGATTGAGACCGCTTCCGAATGGACTGCTGCGACCTGAGCCAAAACTTCCGTTGCTGCAGATGGGACAGCTCCTGTTGATGGTGTAAGAGAGACACTGGCAACGGTTTCGGCCCATGTCGCTCTCGAAGAATGGCAGTTGGTATAGGCTAGTTGAGGCTGAAATACACAAAATATCGTGAAAATAGAATAAGAAATTCATTACAGTTTTTTTCAAACTCTTTTTTTGTGTCTTCATCAAACCAAAAACTGACCAGAATGACCAGGAGAGTTGTTGCGCGTCTTCTTTTTCACCATCTTTCGAATGTCGTTCAAACCGATAAAGCTGAAACTGAAAAATCTATAGAAGCGCTGTTGCAATATTCAACTTACTTGAAAAATGTCTTGCTTCCTAGAGAAAAGGCACGTTTACGAGGATCATCAGCAGGGATGGCCAAACACGTTGATTCCGCTTTGACCTCCGATTCCTGGACCGTTTCAATGGTGTCAACGGTTGCTTGAGGCTTCAGAGGTTCCGTGGTGGTTCTGCCGCCAAATGAGTTGGCACTGGAACAAAAACATTAGATGAAAAATTGAATTTTGGAAATCAAACCGAGGAGGGTTCTCAGCGATGGCAGGCGTAGTAGAACTGTTGGCCGCCATAGAAGAGTAACAACTATCCGTACTATCCGAGATGTAAGAACGAGCTTCATCCAGCTTGAAGGTTGTTGGAGCTGAAAATTCCGGAATGAAAAATAAGGTTTCTCAGAGCCAGTACGTGGAGGGGCGGGAACAGCCAAATGTTCGTGTTCGAAGTTCCAACCGGCAGCTTCCATCGACACATAAGGATCTTCTTCTGCCTTTTTCTTTGCTTCTTTTTCTTCTTCTTTTTCGTCTTTCCCGTAGGCCTGAAACTGAGATTCAAAAACTTCGAATGAGAAAAAACTAACTCCTATGAAATAATCGCCCATTCTTCCACCTCTGCGTTCGTCTTTTGGTTCAGAATCCTTCGAAGGACTGAAAATGAGGAGAATGGAACATTTTTAAGAGTCTTGTTTTTTACCCAGCTTCCTCCACTGATTCAGCAATTTTCTCACTGGCAGTGGTAGACCTCGCAGAAGAAAGGTTCGAGTTGGACTGATCATCAGTGATTGATCTCTTCGGCCGTGTTTTGGTTCTTTTGGGGTTCATAGTCGCCATTCTCGGTCTAAAGTTACATTGATTTGATAACTTCTATCAGATTATACTGACAAATAATTCGCACTACTGTGTAGAACTTGGTTTTTGTTATTTAAGTAAGACTGAGGAATTGTCGCAGCCAGAGGTCTAAGGGACTTGCTAGACGACGACAGCGCATGTCCCATCGCCAACGAAGAAACTTGACGCCTTCAAAACGGGGTTAGGTCCAATTCTATGATTGGAAGCTGAACCACGAGAGAAGAGTGAAAAGAAAGGTTGGAGTGGTGGAAAGCTATTTATTAGTTCTTCAGAGAAAGTGGATCTCAAAAAGATTGAGAAGGGAGAAGATAAGGTGAACTACGGTCAAACTCTGATATTTGAAGAAGCTTTTTGAAGTTAACAATCGAGGTTTTTGAAAAAGTAGAAAAACTTGGAAGAGGTTTTTCGAAATTCCCGCCTTCTAAAAAGCTGGCGTGTTATGTAGAATTTATGAAAGACAGGACAAATTCTTCTCAGAATCATGCCAGAACAGCCACAAACACATAGCATTCAAACTTAAAACCTGTCGCTAGAGCTTCCGAGAGAATGGATTGAAGCACGAGGATGATCCAGCCTGACATTTATAATCATTGGTTAGTACGGTTAGCCGGAATGTAGTTGACAACACAAAAATCAGAATTCATGGTGTTTGGAATCCAATTTATCCGTTTTTTTTTCGTTGGAAAAGTAGTTCAAATTTTTATAAGTGAGATACGTTATTCGAAATGAACTCAGCTTCAAACCGTTTTATTCCTGGATTTTTGCTCAGATAACTAGGCTTACTTTAGACTATCATATGTACCTCGTAAAGTCGCATCACAGCGCGATGATGAAGTTTAGAGCCCATCTCTTGTGGTAACTAGTTTAGGTTGTAGTAAACTATCAAAAATGTTAAGTAGACTATTTTTCATCGAGTTCCCAGACACCATAAATCTAAGCGGCCGCCCCGCGTGGCGACACACCTCGCAAGCACATCAGGGTGACAGAAGCTTCCGAGGGACCCTCGTGGTCTCTGTGGAGTCCTCTGGTTGATTTCGTCTTCGAATGAGTCTAACAGTTCGTGGCAGTCGCGTAGGAAGGCCCTTCGGTCTTTGGCAGACAACGGCACCGTCGACAGCGCCGATGGGACGGCCAGCGACTCCATCCCAGGTCCATCGCTAAACAGCAACTCACCGGAATTTCGTTTGAATCAAAACAGAAAACAAGCAAGCTGAAAGTTATTGAACTGAAAACGTATGTAATCGGGAACTGGACACACAAAAAAAACCGAAACTTAAGCATTTTCTTTGGTTAGCGCAAAAAAGGACAATTGGGAGACATTGGACATTTACAAAAGCTGAAACAACTGGACGCTGAATGATTTTTCTTTGAAATTTCTTGAAAGAAACTTAAGATGAATGGGAAGGGGTTATAATGACCAGAGTATTAAGAATAAGAGGCAAGCTCATGAGAAGCTGTTAATGAAAAACTTTTTCAAAAAGACCTTTTTTTTTAATTGTTGCAAGATTTAAATACTCGTGAATCTTGTTGCAAGAGAAGTTTTTTTTTAAGAAATGTATTCTCTAATGTTTCTCAGAGATGTTCTCTGATCCGATTCTAAAACTTCAAGAACAATTATTCTTGTACCTACAATGATTAACCTTTTTCGCCTTATTTTCAGGCTTATTCAGTTCGAAAGTTCAGAAAAAAAAAACCTCTTGGTGCCTTCAGGAAGAGTTGGAACTCGTTGCCTAATTGGTTGAGTGTGAGATCTTTCGCGATGGTAGCGCATTGTTGAGATCGATGGTGGTGGTGGGTTTCTGAGAAGAAAATTAATATAGAAGCATTATTTTTAAATTTTTGTTCTAATTCTGGCTATGAAATAACTATCGCAAATGTCTTTGAAATACAGTAGCGCTTTTTTTTTTAATTCCAAAGATGAGAAATGCAAAAAAAAAAAGCTAAAGTGGGGATCTGGTACTTAACTGGTTCCACATTAACACTTAATAAAGCGCGATTTCAAAAAACTGACTTTTTACTCTTAGATAAATTTCAGGATGCTCTATTCAAATTCAAAAATTTGGTGCGAGGCTCACCCAATATTCATTTTTCTCTTCTTTTCAGCTTCTCTTTCGATGATCGCGTTCAAACGGTAGTGCATGTCCAATGCGACGTCTTCATTGTCACACTGAGCCCAGAGTTCACTTCCGCCCATGACTGAACCTCGACCCATTCTCAACAGGAAATACTTTTCCTGGCATCCGAAGAAGGCAATGAACGTTCTCTGAACATTTTCATTTTTGATTCATTTTTTTCTGTCTTTTAGTGACTTTTTCTGAGTACATCTTTATAGGTTTCTGTTGACTTTGCGTCAAGAGTTTGAAAGAATTTGAAAGTCAGCGCAAATATATTTTTTTGGTTATCGGAAGTCGCTTTGAGTCCTTTTGAACTTGACGATTGATTATAAGATTACGAGAGGTGATTGAAACAAATTTGAGCTTCAAAAGTACTGTTTTTTAATATAGTGAAAATTTGCTGATTGCTTTTTGGTTTTGATTGTCAATGGACTTATTTCGACCAGTTTTTACACTACTGAAATCGTAATCTATTTTCTGAAGATATTTTCGATGAATGATAAACTCACCGGTAGCTCGACAAAACTGTCTCTCGGGAAAGGCGGAATAACAGGCTCCAAGCTGTTGTTGACGTTAGTCGGTTCAATCCTTCGTTTGCAGACTATAATGGTGTGTGCGTAAAAACATATCCTGACAATACATAACATTATTAAAAAGTTTCGGAAAGTCTCAAAGTACCTTTTAGGACCTGAAATAGCGGGAACTTTTGTTATAATATTCACATTCATGGATTGACGAGGCTTTTTGAATTTCGGGTTTTCTATAATATTCACATCCCAAGCTGCTTCTGTAACACCTTTTCATTGACCCGAAAAATTTGATAAAAAGTTTACCAAATAGTTCATAAATCGAGACAGGGCGTCCTAATCTTATTGCTCTTGCAGGAATCAAGGAGGAAAGAATCGCTTCGTACCATTCATTGTTCTGAAAAAGGAATGTTTTGAAGATTTCCATTTCGTATGAACCTGCTCATCGGAATCTGTTCTGAGAACTAAAGTTTCATCAGGTCCCATTACGCAGATGCATTTCTTCAACTTCGCATCGTACTGAAAAATTTTATTGACTTTGCTCAACTTTTTTTTCCTGGATTATTCTGAAAGCCATTGTTTGGAAAAAAAAAACCCCGAGTTTGGGCAAAAGATCTCTTTTCGACACAAGATTTTCTTTTCTGATCTCTGTAATCCCTGGTCAGGATGCGTCAACAGATAATTTATCGCATTTATCACTTCGGATTAGTATATTTCTTGAGGCAAACTTTTTTGTGGTAAACAAAAAGATTAGACCCTTAAAATCCAACGAAAAAAGATATGGTAAAAGTTCGAAGCTTGGTTTCGAGAAATCCTGGTTTTTTGGATTTTTTTCAAGTGAAAGTTTTTCATTTCAATATCGGCAATAACGACTAAAACAAATAAATTTGAAAAATAAAATAAACAATCTAAGAGGCTTCAGTCTTGAACTTATCGAACATTATCAGGCTTTCAACCACAAAATGACTCTTCCTTCGTTCAAACATAAGCTTCATTCTTTTAAGTTTGGTACTTCTTTTTTTGTTATCAAAAAAATTTGCAGTCTGATATCAACCACATAATGTTCGAATGGAATTTTTTCCTTGTTTTTTTTTTCTCTTGCACTCCAAAAACTGTGATTCAGAAAGATAATCACCGCTTTTCAGACCGATTACGATAAAGTCAGCTGTTAAATCGGAGATTAAGCACAATTCCTCAAGAATCCTCAGGAATGTGTGATTGTTCTCCATTTCAATTACATCATATAACTTTGAGAACAGAAAAGATTGTTCATGTTCATAGAATTGAACAAGATTGTATAAATGAAACGATTTCAAGAAATTTTTCTGATTTGCTCTGCTTTTTATTTTTTTACTTTTTTTGATTTTTTTGCAGAAGTGAAAAAAATCAACTCACATGATCTTTGTGGCAGTTGAAAGCGACGCTGAGATCCATGAGAATTTTCGGTTCTTTCTTCTTACGGTAAGACTTCTCATTATCGTACAAAACTAGTGCCCGATCCATCACAACGCAGAAAAGAATTCGCCGTGATTTCTGAATAACAAGACCGTCATTTATCTCCAGCTTTCATAATTTTTTATTCTCACAACCAAAAAACGTGAGATCATAGCCAGAAAAATTCAGAAAAATTGAAAAACAAGATGAATCTTTCATAAAAATCAAATTCAATTAACCGTCTCTTCAATTTTTAGGTGCCTACTATTTGAAGGGAGAAACTCAATATTTTTTTCAGAAAAAAATAAGAGAAACTATATCTAGCTTTTTTTGGAGTTTGAGCCTAAGTATAAAGAAGTATAATGAAATTTTTTTACATAAAATCTGATTTTTTTATTATTAATAGTTTCGTGAACTCATAAATTTGAACATGAAAGTTACGGTAATATTATAAGAGGGTGATAGAGCTTTTTCAGAGCAGAGCTTTTTCATTTTGTTTTTCATTGCTTGTTGAAACCATCAAAACTACTTTTGTGTGCTAAAAAGAAAGGAATTTAGGGTTTTCGGTCATAATTAAATTTTCAGCTTCAATCCCCGAAGTAATGCAAAAAATACGTGTCTTAGATTAGGCATAACAAAAACAAATTCTGAGGTCAATACTGTATGAAATCAATTTTTTTTTAATTTTTTCTGTTCATTTTGAAGAAGTTTATGATCCGCGAGTAAATTGCGACGATATCTATAATCAGTGTTTTTTGCAATCATTCGAATAGGAGTTTTTGAGTCCGAAACACATTTTCGGGCCCTTCTTAGATTGAAGTCGCTCCCATCAATCTTGAAAAAGGTCAAATGACTCACGACGGGAGTGAGGCCGGCGGTGACCATGCCGGATTTAATGATGCCGTCGTCCTCCTCGATCGCCGCTGGTGCCTGGGACGGCGGCGCGGTAGGACTCGGCGCCGGCAATGCTAGCATCGCCTTCGGCCTTGTCAAACTGCAAACACCCAACTTTTTAGGACAAAAATCAATGCGAACGTGGGACAATATCGAAAATCGCGCAAAATCGGAACACAGAGAGCGTCTAGAGTTTCTGAGAGAAAGACAGTGCAACTGTACCGGAGGCGAATTTCCTTACGAATGTAAATTGTCTCTAATTCCGTAAGTTCTTTAAGTTCAGCTTGAAATCTGCGGAGATAAGTATTGCCAGAAACATGGAGTAAAACATTTTCATGAACTTTTAATTTTTTTTTAATCAGATTCCCAGGAAGCTTCTGTGTTTTGAAAATCTTTCTTGAACGCGATTTCACTTGACTAAATCTTAATTTAGAACTTAGCCGGGAACAGTCATTTATAGCGTCAAGTGTTAATGCTATTTGAGAAAATTCGGACAGAAAATAGAAGTTCAATTTCGAATGCTTTGTCAACTTCTATGTAATTTGCTGGCTAAAATCTTTCTGAACGTTGCAAGATTTCACGAAACTCCTTCAACTTAACTTGTTTCAAAAACCAAGCTCATTCCACATAAAGTTTCAAGTAACTCAGAATCTACAGTCAAAAGTACATCAAAAAAATCGGGTCACGTGTTTTTATTGCTCTTAAAAGTTCAAATATTCAAACATATTTGTTTTTTCTTGATTTATGAACATGGAGCGGAGTTAGGATTTTTCGAAATTGGCGATTGAAAAATGAGAATGTGCATGAAGTATACCAACCAAAAAAGCTACCGTATTCCGTACAGTTTATTCAGAACAAAAACTGGTGGAAAGGATTTTGACACTAAAAAAAGGCGTGACCTGTATTCCTCATGAAAAAAAAAATCAAAATGGTCCGAAAAAGTTCGAATCTGTGTTTTTCCAACTTTGTGAAATTTTTCTTGTTGTCCTTTGGCGCCTTTATGCCTAATTTTTGTATAGAATTAGTTTTCTTCAGTCAACGAAACTTCGTAAACAAATTTTGGTTGAAGATGAAAAGGCAAGAAAAAACAAACAAACCTTTGTTGAACGAAAAATTGTCTCAATAGAGGCTGTTTTCCTGCACTCGAAAAATCAAATGTATTGTTCAAACTAATGGTATCTTGGATGAAATGAAGCCAAAAGAAACATAAATTGAAGTTTTTTTCTGCCTTATCTTCAAGCCCAGAAAATGTTCGTTAAGTGTTCTATGGGAAAGCAAGATTTCTTAAATAAAATATCAAAAGGACCGTATCAAAGTGATAAGTGGAATATCAGAAAGTGAAAAGTTAATGCTTTTATACCAAGCAAGGACTGAATTCACACAGAAAAATACTTAGCTGATAAACTTTTCGACTTTCCCAAGGAGAAAAAACCGTCTAGAAAAACTTACTTCTTACTGAAACGTGAGAAATACCTCACTAGACGTCTTACTGTAGCAGAAAGGGCACAAAACGTGGAAACATCTGATAAGAAAAACGTCTGCGGGAAACTATCTGGGAGGTCGATTTTCGCACGTAGAAGCCAAAAGGTGACAATCAAAACGAGAAAAGCAGGTGAATTTTTGATTTCATGAGAGGAAAAAAAACTATTTTTTCGATGGGAGTGTTTGCAAAAAAACAAAAAACCGAATAAAACAGTGTTCGAAAAGGAATCTAAATAATTCAAACGGAGCGCGAATGAGGCCTAGCCGCCACAAACATTTGACTCCGCCAAAAATGATTGAAACAAGGCGAGGGGCGTGGTTTGCGCCAAAATTATGCAGAAGAAAACTGTGAATGAAAAGAGTTTGGTTTTAATCTGAGCGGCGGAGGCACAAAGTGCCAGTCTGTCTTTGGTGTTTACAAAAACAAAAAAGTGCTTCTGAAGGCCATTTTCTGAAAGGGCAAACTTGGGTCCGAAATATTTGCGCGTGCGCAGCCGACGACTTCGCTTCTTTTTGAGGGCCATCTTTCTTTCCTGTGCCTTTTCTGTCAAGTTTTGAACGCGTAGAAAAAGTACGATGCGACGAACCCAGAGGTTTTCAACTGCTTCCGGCAAAAGTTGGGTCAAAAGTCAAGTTATTTCGCATCACAAATAAACTTTGGTTCATATAAAGAAACAGATTAGCAAAATCCTTAAAATATTCAGGTATTGTCCGTTAGATTTTATTTAGCTTCAAGACCTTTCAGAACAAATGTTTCTTTTTTTATTTGCTATTTGTATGAAAATTGAATAGGTTCTGATGGGTTATATAACAAAAAAACAGCAAACACGAGTCGTTTTTTTCAAAAATTGTTGGAGACACTTAAAACCAATTCAAAAAGTTCATAAAAGCTATTATCCAGTATAAAGAGTAAAAATATGTTTCCCCAACCACTTTCGTTCAAAATACTAAATTTTTGAAGGATTAAATTTTTAATTCTTGTATCGGTCAATCTTTTTCAGCAGAGAAACAAGAAAAAATGAACTTTTATATAACGGATTCTCTCAGGGGAAGAAAGTCTAGAAGTCAAAGCGTTGAAAAAGGCTCAAAGTGTAAAGTTAAAAAAAGACCGCGACAGTAAGAAGATTCGGAAAAACCAGTTTATTCATGATTTGAACCGAAAAAAAGGACGGAAACCGATTAGTCTTGCTGATATATGAGACGAATGTTTTCTGTGTCCATATATAAAAAAGTTTTTTTAAACTTCGGAGTCGTCATATCTCTGCTGCTTATTTTTGGAGCTGAAAAATAAGCTTCATCCGTTTTCGGTCTATAAGATCATCGAGAAAGTTGGGATAAAGCTATCAAAAAATATTGTTCCGTTACTTATTAGAAAACTGTTTTTTTCATGAAGAAAGTATGACCTAGGCTACACCATCAAGGCGTGGTAGAACTTCTGAGAAACTTGCCTGAAGTTCTAAGTTTTTCGGTGAAGATGTGCAAGGTTTTGCCGCCAGAAGCGGGAAACCAACAAAGGAGAATAGCAAGGTTGCAAATAAAAATGCACTGTTTTATTGATTGATTGCGCGCATCGTCGCCACTTTCTTATGCGCGACGCGCGGGGCATGAAAAAGCTCACAAACAGCCACTTGTCCCAAGGTAGATCTAGGCATTTCAAAGAACTTCATCATTCCCTCATTTTTTCGTGAAAGAAAAAACGCTCCGAGGGATATTACCTACGGTATGGTAATAGTGAATTTCGCAGGAGTTGAAAAAGTGAGGAAAATCACAGTATGCTCAGCTTTTATGCGCGCTTCGCTTTAAGACCTGCACGTTTTTGCGCGTTCGCTTTGAGACCTGTGATATGAAGGATTACGGTACTTTGGCTGGTAAAATGTGACAAGCTGGTTTTCTAAATTTTCTTCTTCTGTTCTCTGAGATGATGATTTTGGGGGCCGATCAACTATTCATTATTTAACTATTTATTTATCAGAAAAACTTTTGAAGTTTTCAGAATTTTACATATAAAAGAAATCGATCAAGAATGAACCTGGACAAACAGTCGAGAAAAAAGACGTGAGTGAGTAGATTGGAAAGGCGATTTCATCATGGCGCCTTTCAAGTTTGAATAGTTTGAAAATCGATATTCCTCTTTTGTTTTTCAAAACTTCTCGCAATCAAAAACATTTTCCTTGTACTGTTTTGAGGTCTCGTTCAAATTCAAAATCTCTTTCGTTCTGTAAAAAAACATTCCTTTTCCAGAAAAAAACAGAAAAAGACGTTTTTTTTTAATCGTTAACTATACATCCATTGTTTGGTTTTTGTCAGTATAGCTCTTTTTAGAAAAAAAAATGTCTACGCGTACAAAAAATGTACTTCTCTTATTCCTACAAAACGTGCCCGCCCTGATTATTCTCCTTACCGTAATGGTTTTTTCTCAGAGAATGTCGACATGACGACTGATTGGTGATATATTTATCCAATTCAAAATCCCTTTTTTTTTGCAAGAAAAAGACTTGATCAAAGTCAAATTTTTTATGCACGCTCCTTTTTTTTGTAAGGTTTTGAACCTTTCCTGCACTTTTTAGAACTCCATGGATCAAAATTCAGAGAACCGTATTCTTTCTGATATGTTTTTGTGATAAATTCGTCCAGTAGCACGTGCAATGGCGGCCTCCCGTACAGTTTGTCACGTGGCAAAAACAAAAAAAAAAGAAAAAAAAGAGAGAGAAAAAAGTCAAGAGCCGCGAAAAGAGTTTGTTATCGGTTCGGGCCGCGCAAATGTTTCTGAGGATGACGACGCGTGAGGTCGTTCGCAGACAGAAAAAAGCACTTGCACCTTGGGAATGAGGGAAAAAAGGCCTTTTCCGCGAAGGGAAGGCAACTAGTTAATGAGCTTCTCAAATTCGACACGGACGTGGTTTCTTCAATGAGAAGCTCATTAGCCAGATGTTCTTGACCAAGAAATCCTAGCGTTCCGTTTTTTTTGTGTCTGACCCGTAGTTGAATCTATCGTTGTCTAGGAAATCTCAAGACGATTTTCGATTATGAAAAAATCAGGTTTCCTCCCATTTTTTTTTATCCATCCTCGAAATTCTGATTCAGAATCAATGAATTGAAATAGCGTAATCAACCAAGAAAAACGTCAACTAACCTTAGTATGTTGCTCAGCCCAGAAACTAGCTAAAAATCGAAGAAAATCTGGATTTCTACCGGAACTAGCCATATCGCGTAACATGATTAGAGTCAGGAAGAAGATTTTGTTTGAATTTAGCACGTGAAAAAAAACTGAGAAAACCAATGTAGGACTTATCGAAGTTTAATGTAGTCTCTTATCTTCGAAAAACACCCAAGAATGCGACAGTTTTCGGTATTGAAAATAAATTTCATCAAAAAAACGAGTATTGTGAATAAAATTTTTTGAGTCAAACTTCAAGAGATGAGAATTCAGACCTGAAGTTATTTTTTTCTTAGAAATGATAAGGTCAAAATAATAAACACAAATTCGAATAATCGAGTGAATTCTCCACATTCTCTTTGGAATGATATCAATTTTTTTCAAAAAAAGTGAAAGAAGTAAAAAAAGTGAGAACCGTCGAAAAAAATAACCTTTTTAAATT